ATACTAAAGGAAGAAAAAAAGAAGTGTCTTTTTGAAAGTCAAAATAAACTCAAAGGTCATAAAACTGCAAATAAAAAAGCGCGCGTTAATGAGAGGCCTTCATATTCCGTGACCTTTGACCCTAACCGTTCTACAGGCGCGAGGATCAAAATGGCGCCATCTAACGGCGAGCCTTTCCGGATAGAAAGAGCTGTTTTAAACCGGTGAAATTTAGCACTTTTAGGACAAACAAACCTGACAGACAGCGTCCAGAAAATACGACGACGTTCTTCCTGGAGAACAGGTTGGTCTCAGCTGCTTTCTGCGCACTTCTCACCGATTTAATAATTAAAAAACTCGCCATTTTCACCTCTTTACCATAACGTCGTCACGTAGCTTTTCTCTTCTGATTTGTTAGTAAAGCCGAAATAACCGCACATATATTGTGTTTAATCTTTGTGAGTGTAAAGTTTGTCAGCTGATGGCGTATTTCAGTAAATCGCTGTTTTTATTAAATATTGCGTCTACCTTCCATTGCTTTGAGAGGGGCCATGATTAAACGCAGGGTGTTAACGGACCGCGTTTAAGTCCCTGTTTTAGACTATTTTTGCTTTACGAGATGAAAAACTTAAATTCATCAGAATGAGTGTAGCTTTATTGAATATTCGGCTATATTAAAATACAGTATAAAAGCACAGAGAATGAGAGAAGCGTAAATAATCAATAAAGAAGCGAACTGGTTTGGCAAGTTGATTTATCATATAATCATTTGGACGAATCTCTCAAAATAGATGTCAGTAATTCAGTTATTCGTGTCCAACAACATAATTTAATCTATGTAAATGCTCATTTAGGTTGTCCACAGTCAATCTTTTATATATCTTAAATATTAATTCAACCTTTTATTGGTGGTTTTTCAAACCTGTACCACTGAAAAATGATTAACTACATCCTGGTTCATGCACTCTTCAGCCTCATTATCCTTTTTTGTTATATCTGTTTGTTTTTTGTTAATCTGCCAGGCGTTATATGACTGTCCAGTGTTTACCATAAGTTAGGATCCTCTATTGTGCATTTTAACAAAACTTAATATTATACTTGTTGTAAATAAGGTGGGGTTTACCGTTCTTCAGCTCAGGATTCTTTTGGAGGGAATGAAAGAATAAAACCTGATTAAAAGAGCAGCTCCGGTTTCACCCTTTTGCATTTTGAATCAAACGTTTATTTCCCTCGCAGCGTAATTTAATTACACACGTCTCAAGTTTCAAACTCTTCAAAAGCTGCGTTTTTCCCGTACTCTTTGAGTGCGTTCATGCGTGCACATGTTTTTTATTTGAGCTCGTTTTATTCTAACACACCCTCGTTTTTCGTCGAAACACAGCCAATATAAACAGGATATGCTTTTAATCTGAATGTTTCCTTGTTTCTGCTTTGCTTGGTTACTTTAGTTTCCTGGTAACTTTTTGTCCAAGAGGAGCTGTTTAAGATGCGTGCATGAACGCACGGGTCAAGGTCTCGATCCAGGCCGTACGTGCACAGACGCAGCGTATAAAAACCTGCACCTGAGCGGGTCCTGCAGGTGTCACCTGCTCTCCTGCAGCGACGAAGCATCAGGCGCCATGGACTCCCTGCGATGGATGCTCGCTGTCTGCTTCTACCTGTTCTCAGGTAGGACACGAACATTCTTGTTATTTCACGATATGTTTCAGTCAGTAAAGAACAAAAAAGCAATTTTAAGCTGTTTTAATAAACATTTTCCATATGTTTAATTAATTTATATGCTTTTTTTTTTTGTTTAAATCCTGTTTTTATTAATTTTTTCTTTTTTATTTATATAGTAGTATAATAAAGATGCAGGTTAATATTAATGCAATAATGTTGAGCAGCATTTATGTTGTTGTTTTCTGATTTTAGTTGTTTTTGTGCATTTTTACATCTATTATTGCACAGGTTTAACTACATTAAGGGTTCATTTATAAAAACTTCACTTCGTTCAGATCGGTGCTGTGACCTTTGGTCCTTGTAACTTTTAAAATAAAATAAAAATAAGTTTATATATATATATATATATATATATATATATATATATCATTTTTCTTCCATTTATTTTTTTATTTATATGCTTTCTTTTATGATTGTCTATTGTTATCATTCTGTTTTGTGAACAGGTCTTTCTTGTGACGGAGTCCTCGAGGCTCAATGAGACTAACCTGTTGAATGAATTGCATGTTCTTTTTGTTTCCATGTTCTTGGTCTTTCTTTGTGTTCGTATTACAATTCCTTACGTTTCATTTTATGTCTACATATTCATCTTTTAATCTTTGTCCTTTTTTATTTATTTTGTCTTCCTATGGGTCCTTTTTCTGTTTGTTTGTTTTTTTTTTGCTTCCCTATGTTACTTTTGACACCTTATTTGTCCTTTTTGTCTCAGTTTTGTGTCTTTTTTTCTCCCCAGGTAAAACTTCTCACTTTCAGCTTCTTCAGCAAATTTCAGCAATTTATTATCCATACGTTCATCCATTTTCTTTACCCGCTTCTTCCTTTTCGGGTCACGGGGGTCACTGTGCGAGAGGTGGGGGTCACCTTGGACAGGTCTCCAGTCCATCACAGGGACACATGGAGAAACGAGACGAGCCACTCACTCACTCACTCACACCTAGAGACAATTTAGAGTTACCAATCAGCCTAACGTGCAGATTTTTGGTCTGTGGGAGAAAACCTACGCGGCACCGAGAGAACATACAAACTCCACCCAATAAGGTCCTGGGCTGGGGTTTGAACCAGCAACCTTCTCGCTGAGAGGCAACAGCTCTACCAACTGAGCCACCCAATCATTTAACAGCATAATTTTTTCCATTTTGATTTTCTATACTAGCCCTTAGATTATAAGAATAAATATATATTGGTAATACACTTTTATTTAACGCATAAATGTAATGCCTGCTATAAAATAAGGATTTGTGTTTATGGTCCTATATATTAAGTGTGCCAAAGCATCCACATTAAAGTGTTCTTTTTAGGCTCAATGAGACTTGTATTAAAATAATAATAATAATGTAAAAAAGGTTGAATTGAAAAAAAAGACCCAGAATAGTTGTGTAAGATCAACCACAAGACCAGGAGCAGTTTTAAGTGTTTATTTACAAGTGGGTGATACGCAAACAGTCAAACTGTGACCTCTGGAACCCTGAAGACAAGGGAACAGTTAGTAGGAGCCAAGTGGGTCTGCAGATGATGATGACAAACTGTCCACTTACTTGAGGAGGAGGTGATAATCTCCAGGGCAGGAGTCCAAGGTTCCAGGGTCAGCCCAGTGAGGTCCCAGGACGATGAAGCAATAACTTAAGCAAAGAGGGATCGAAGGAGGTACTCGGAGAATGCAGGAGAGTCCAGGGTGTCCAAAGAGCTCAGGAGATTCTGTGAGGCGTAGGAGCAAGGAGTTGGAATAATCAAAACTGTAGAGAACACACCGAAGGGCCGGGAACACACTACCATCAGCGTTGGAGTGGTGTCAAAGGCCTTTTCTACACCTGCTGCTCATCAGGGTAAGGATCTGCAGATGCGTCTCCAATGGTGACATCTGGTGGAGAAAGGTGTAGGAGCAAAACCCCAAGACTCCTACAAAAGCGTGCCGCTACATCCATAAGTGTGCTGTGACGTTTGACTCAAAATGATCAAAAAGCTGCAATAAAGTACGTAATGGAGCTCAATGAGATTCTGGTGAAACACGTGAGGAAACTCAGTCCTCTTTGGAGCTCCGCAGTTCTGGGACTTCTCTGTAGAAACGTCATTCGGCTTGCCTCAGAAAGTTGAACATGACACGTTTGTACGCATTAACTCATTGCCGTTTTCATATCTTTTATGGTTTTAATTAACTAAAGTTTGATGATTTTTACCATTTTTTTCCACAAAATGTTCAATCCATGAAAGATGTCCCATGAAGCTTTAGGTGTCCAAAAGTTTCAAACCTTTGGAAAACAAATTCTTTATGGTAAAAAACCACAAATTATACGCCGAACTGAAAGGATTTTTGGCTTCTTTCTCCTAATGGTACTGTCATGTAACTTGTCATATCTCCCACATAAACGCATAAAAAAGCTAAATGTGTGACGGTCAGTCTTCTGCCACTCACGGGTCAAGAACTTTTAAGATCCGACATGTAGTTTTCAAATTGCAGCTTTTTGTTTGAGGCTTACTTTTCAATCTGTTTCTGTCTGCCTCTCAGGAAGTGACGGATACAGGTGTGTGTGGTTACCATGGTGACTGTAATGAGCCACCTGCAGCAGCTTTAACTTCTGCTTTGAGCTTGGTTTTCTTAACTCTTCTACAGTTCAAGCATCAAAATTAGAGTCCGACCGATATGGAAATTTTGACCTTCGTCAATATCGATATTGGGAGGGGCAGACTTCCAATAACCGATATATTGGGTGAACATTTTGGGGCTTTGTCCACCCCTAAGAATCTAAGTAAACAGCTACTTTTAAACCTGTTTTAACACTTGAAGTCTTGAAACAGTCTTCCTAACATGCGTTCACATTTTCTATCCTACACTATTCACCATAAAGATATCAAGTGTGTTACAAAAATATATACATTTGTTTTTCTTAGCAGAGAAAATATTTCAGACAAACGATGCGTTTCATTGATGACGACAAATAAACCGTTACTAACGCTGAAATATTTGACCTCTACGTTACATTTATTGTTCTGGATAAAGTTTTGCAAGGCAATACTCTATGGTAGGTTATAACTTTTGTTTTACAGATTAGTTACAATAAACTTACCACGTTCTGTTTAGCACAATATGCAACACGGTATTTAACGGTAGTTGTTCCCTGCTTGCCATGACTTGAAAGTAGTGTGCATGCGCCCTTTGCTGGGTACATTGTACAATTATGGCATTTACAAGTAAGGGTGCAGCTCATTTCTCAGCATTTTAGGGGTGAAAATCAGCAGTTTATATCAGTGCGTAATGGGACAATTATCACCGATACGATATGTCCCCAAACGCCTGTATTGGCCTAAAATACCGGCCCCCACCGATATAGCGGTCGGGCTTTAATCAAAATGTTGCAGTTTTTCTTTGATCATCACAACGTTGTGTGATCTGAATTGGCAATGACGAAAACTTTGTCAGGAATTTCCAAGTCAATGATTCATTGTTTTTCTCTTATAGTGGTTGGAACGGGTGAATTTGTGGCAACGCCTGAATCTCAGAAATGTAAGTGCTGCTCATCAGCTGCTTCCACAAGCTTAATTTGTGCCACTTCAGTGCTCCATCCATCCTTGTATCTACAAGCGTGCAGCATCTGTTTGTTTTTTGTGATCAGACACTTGCAAGACGTTCGGCAGCGGCGTCACCCAGCCCTTCAGTGGCTCGCCTTTCTACGTGCGCTCCAACTGCCTGTTCAGGTTCGTCCGCTTCACCCACAACCGCGTGGAGTGCGACATCACCGTGCAGCGAGGGAGCAACGGCCTGCTGTCGCAGGTGGAGATCATCATCAACAAGGTTAAGACGGTCCTGCTGGACGACAGCATCCAGGTGGAGAACAAAAGGTTTGGTCTCATGTTTTACTCTCTTTAAACGATCTCAGTTTGGAGTAAAAAAAAAAAAAAAAGAGTTCAATTGATGAGCTAAAGGCTAGTCAAAGTGGGGCCAAGATCGAAAGGAATTTCCAACATTTTAAAACAAATGTCAAATGATTCAGAAGTTAAAACAAACAATAGTGCCAAAGTTTCTCTAAATACTTAAATTATGTCATCATTTTAGGATTACATGAATTCTGTCTGGAAGTGCAACAACTAGCTGCTATTCGTTTGCAAAAATCACATAATTCTGGGTAGTTATTGTTATGCATAGCTTAAGATATTTAGGTTTATAAAACTACAGAACTGAATGCCGAATAAGTTGAAACTGAGTTGTTAAAGCTGAAAGAAGCAGAACAGTAGCTAAAAGCTAAAATACAAACTTCAGCTAAAAGTTGCAAGTTGATAGTCACTAAAGGCTAGCTGAAAGCTAAATGTAGCATGAGAAGGCTAAATTAGAGCAATTTTGCTAGAGCAGATTAAAAATGTTTTGAAAGAAACTGACGAAATCTTAATGCATTTCTATAGGGGCAAAGTGTCAAACAGATATATACATTTAGAGAATTATAAAACTTACAAAAAAACTAAAGCCATAGCACCCATCTCCAGAGCAAGTGGAACATTTTGATATATGAATGACGGAAATAGCACAAAGTATGCAGTATTTAGATTACAAAAACAAATAGAAAGTCAACAGTGTGAATGCTGAATCAGCATTAACACAAAAAGTGTTTAATTTGCTCTCTCTGATCAATTGACTGGCTGAAGGCCATTTAAAAGGACCAAGCTCCGCATCCCGGACGAGCCCCCAAATATGCTCTGGTCCTGATAAGTCCAGGAGTAAGTGGCAGGACGCGCCACATATGAAGCCCAGTCGATTGTACAATTTAGACAAAACTTTAATTACCAATCACCTGACCACGTGCAAACTGGGAGCCCCGATTAAAACAAACAAAAAGAGGGAGAAGCCCTCTTCTGAACTTATCAGGTCCATACAATGGCAACAATTCTCTTTGGTCTTTGCCCCATTAGAGACTAGTTATCGACTCTAAAAATATGACAGAATTAAATTCTACAACAAGAGGAAATTTAAAAACAATATTACCGTTCATCCCTTTTAACAGAACATCAGTTTAAATTATCTGAACTATTGCTTTAAAGGCACCAAATCATTCATTCCCGCTCTTCCTGCTTTGTCGTGTGAAGACAGCTGTATGTCTTTTCTTGTTTTTTGGACATTTCTACTCTACCATTAAGATGTTCTCCACAAAACACAGTAATAAACTTTAATTATCCTTATTTGGAAAAGAAAAAGGTGAATTTTCTCCAACTCCTATGAGGCAGCCTTCACTCTGTAGGCAACTTTTGTACCTTTGAAACATGTAACCAGAACCTCTGACGTCTTGATTCCATAAGTAAACACCTCACAGGACCCTGGTGACGCAAACAGCCCATGGGATAAGCGACACCTGTGACCTCGAAGACTTATAAAGCAGGAATTTCCCAACAAAGAGGTCATAACCTTAGAACTCCACCAAGGATTCCTTACAATTTGGAGGTGGATTGTCTCAAAGCAGCAATAAAAGACGTCCAATTGTCTTTTTGGTCAAGGATTTTCATAATCTATCTGACTGGGTGTCATCAACAAATTCAGGTGGACAAATGTTTACAGTGGGCTTTTATTGTTCGTTGATTATTAACTCCATTATTAGCTTGGAGACTGAACGTTATTGACTGTTTGTCTTGGCAAGTGAGCACCAGGAGTCGGACCCTTTTCTGGTCTTCAAGGTGACTTCCAGGCTTCTACTGTTTGACGGGAATTGTATTTTAATTTAAAAGATGAGGAAGTTATGAGTCGTTTATTTGCTACGTTTACTTTGTGTTGACAGAGTTTCTCTTCCGTACGACCAAACTTACCAGCACATATTTCAGTACGGCATCTACACCCGACTGAAGAGCACCCTGCTTCCTCTTTCTGTCACTTGGCACAATGTCCCCGGAGGAATCGACAGGCTTTGGGTGAGACGGCTTTAACCAGAAACTCGTACGTCCAAGGGTATTTAAAAGAAAAAAGTTATACCTTCTTCAGTAATGTTTTACAAGTAAAGGCTAAATGATAATAATCTGGTCCATCAATTGGGCAAATGCAACCTCCAATGAACAACAGCTTAACATTTATAGCCCTGATACGTTGAAGTTAACACATTCTCATGACCTTATCAGTCTCTTACATCACAGTGACGAAATTCTGGCCCACTTTTCTTTACGATGTTGCTTCAGACTGTCGACATTTGCAGGCATTTGTTTATGTGAAGCTCTCTTGCAGTCAGCGGGTTGTTAAGGTATGTACTTTGACTTGGCCGAGGCAAAACCTTGATTCTCTTCTAAACCAGGTCTGTTGATGAGATCCTAGTCTGACCAAATACATCTTAAAAGAGTTGAGGAACTGGGCCTTCTAGAGTGATCTCGTTCTTTCGGTCTTTAGCTCATGACCGTACATGAGTGTAGACCAAAAAACACCTCAGCTCCTTCCTAGGCCTGTCACAATAAACAACAAATCAATTAATCGCATGATAAATGAAAATTATTGACCTCGTTTTCATTTATCGGCTTTATTGTTTCTTCGTGTCGTTCTACTGAAGACACTGGATGACAAAAGGCTCAACTCCGGTGCTCTTCATTGATCCCTCCCTTTCTCTTTTTTCTTTAAAATCCGTTTTAACCGTCCAAAATCGCGTTTTTGGATCGTTAAAAGCAGCTAAGCTGAGAAGCTAAGCTACGAGCTAAGCTAACAGGCCGACCTCGCTAAAATACCTCCGTCTTATCGAAGCTCCAAAATTGACAGTTGAAACTTGTGCCTTTGTGTAAAAAGTAGTTTTTTTCTCTGCAAAAAGAAGCTGAGAACTTGTTCACTGATTTATTTTTTATTTTTTATTAAAAGCTTTGTGTGAAAAATGCTATGCTAAAGAGCTCAGACCACACCGAGTGTCCGCCATTTTGAGAACTGAAAAAAAAAGGAAGAGGGACAGCCCATGTCACATCAAGGGACCTCCCTCCCATTTTTCTTAGACACGCTGCTCACTCCCTCACTATCCATCCTTCAGTTCAAACAGTCTTTACTGCCATCTGGTGGTCAAAAAAGGTACTGCACTTAAAACAAATTAACCAACATTGCTTCTTAAATTTGACTATAATTACTAATTGTCAAATTTCAAACAATATTATTGTTTATCACAATAATTTCTGAGACAATTAATCGCCCATCAAAGTTTGTTATCGTGACAGGCCTACTCCCTCCACCACAGTCTCATTATAGCTCAATGAACTCCCTTTACCACTCTTCCAAATTCACTAAATCCAACATTTGCTGCCTTAAATATCGCTGCTGTTTAATCCTTGCAACAAATTAAGTAAAAAAAAAAAAAACACACTTTAGTAGCCAGTTATTAAGCTGCTGGCTGCTGCCTAACCATTTTAATTATCCCCCAAAATGCAACATGGTGTGTTATTTGAATAAGCTGTGCTTTCTAGTTTTCATATTGCTTAAAAATATAATTTACTAAAATGATTGGGGTTGTTGAAGATGATGGTCAAGGCCACCACTGGCCACCCTCTGGCTCCGCCCTTGCACCTGTTGGTGAATTGCTCTCTCCACTCATCAGGATCCGTCACTCTGTGCTGCCTCGGACAAGCACAAAAAAACCCCCACTACCTCTGTTCTTGTCCACGGTGTAACTCCTTACCCACTTGAATCTCTCGCAGCAAAAACTTCCAGTTCCAGTCCAGAAAAACACTCATCTTCATCTTGTCGCATAAAACTTTTGCGTTTTGACACCGCTTTTGTCAAATAAAGTTATTTCATGTCAGGTTTAATTATTGAAAGGCTCCTGTTTTCCTGTCTCTTACATGGAGTTCAATGTTGTGATTTGTTCTGAAGGTGGATCTGGAGCAGGAGCTCAGCTCTGACTTGACTGGACTGTGTGGGAAACAAGACTCGGGTACAACGTCTGCACCACATAAGTCGTTTGAAATGGTTTAAAAATCTTACCAGCAGCAGCACAGTGAAAAGATCAGATCAGGAGCATTTTAAGATTTTATCAGATCTAAATACCTAAAACGACATGAGATACAGGTTAAAATAAGACATTTATTTATTACTTTGAATGAACTGAAAGTTGTTACCCAAACACTTTAGGGGTTTATTGTCCATACGTACTGCAGATGTATCTGAGAAGTGAAAATAAACAAACATATTTTTATATTTTAAATCTCACAAACTAACAATAAATGAACTTAACATGCAGCCTCAGTTTCGTAGACTTAAGATAATTGAGCCAAGCTTGATACATTTGTGCATCGTCACTAGAAGGAGTGTCGCATACCCATTTTTATCAGCTCATTTCTAAGGTCAAGGTCACAAATCAAGGTCAGAAGTCATTCAAGCTCTTTGCCATTGCTATAGATTGCTGTAAGTTTGTTGACAGGTGTATAATGTACCGTATGCAGTTGTCTTGTTTCACTATCCATCGTTTCGCAAGTTTGAAAGTATAAATTTTACCATCTACCTTCAAACTTATGGCTAGTTAAAGTAAAATTTGACCCATTTAAATAAAATAAATCACTTCAGTTTGTTCTGATTTGGAGAAACCTGATTAATTCTTCTTGAAATTCGAAACTTGGTTCGTAAGTTTTACGGTGAATTCCTCATTTCATCGTGAAATTACCGTTGTGTTAGTTTGACAGTGTATTTGCAGATTTACGTGCGTTGCGGTGCTGTTTTTAAACCAGCACTCCTCAACGGAATGCAAACGTTTTAATCAAAAATCTCACATGACAGATCGGTGCTCAGAGTATATGTTGGGAATGACTCTCAGCTACTACCACACTCGATCTCTGCACATGAAGCCGTCGTTGTTTGTTTAGGTCTGTGGCAGCCATCTTGAGCTAGATGCTTGATTAGTTTCGAGAGCTTCGATCAAATCTGTCCAGTGGATCAGGAGATATTTTGCTAACAGGTAGACAAACATAACGACACAGGATTGCTCATCTTTAATGTTGATGGATGGAAATAAATGCTGACTGTTAAAGTGTTAGCTAAAACAGATTTGACGATTCGTTTATTGTATTTTGTTTTCAACGTTTTTGTTTTGATTCTCTCAGGAAGCGTCCAGCAGCTGATTTCACAGTTTGTTCTGTCTTCGGACACGTGTCAAACTCGAGATCCGTCCTTTGTCTTAAATCCAGTGAGACACATTTTTACTCTGAAACACATACAAGTACTTTTTACTGTGGTAGATGTGTCACAGGAAGCTGCTGCTGTTTTGAGAAGGACGTTCAGGTGGTTCTGGTTCTGTTCCAGGTGTGCAGGCAGTTCTTCTCTGAGACTCTGGAGTGCCTGCTGTCCAAAACCCCTCAGTACATCCAGCTGTGTGAGCAGAACGTCTACAGCTACGAACGCAACACGGACATCGCCTGCGCTTTCTTCCAGGAGGTCGTTCTGACGTGTGGAAGAAGCAGCCACATTTGGAACTCGTGGAGAACCATAACCAAATGTGGTGGGTGAAAATGTTCTCAAGGGTTCAATCCTTCGAGTTTCTATAAAAATATTTTAAAAGCTGCTTCAGTTCATTTTCCCAAGGTTTTAATAGTATTAGCTTTTAGCCATGACTGCTAATTTCAGCTTCTAGCTACAGTTTTACTCAATTTTAGATTATTTTTCTGATGGTTTTGCTTGTTTTAGGTATTTTTGCGTGGAGGTGGTTTTTACATTTATTTCCATGAATTTAATAGTTTAAAAAAATATTCTGGTTTGGCTAATTTTAGGGTTTAGCCACAGTTTTGCTAATTTTAGCTTTTAGCTGTGTCTTTGTAAACTTTAGCTTTTAGCTACCATTTTTCTAATTTTGCTTTTTCTAATATTAGTTTGTTTTTTTCTTAAAGTTTTGCTCATTTAAAATGTTAGCTATAGTTAAGATCATTTTAGCTTTTAGCTACTGTTTTATTAATCAAAGTTTTTAGCTATTTCTTTGCAAATTTTAGCTTTTAGCTTCAGTTTAGCTAATTTAGTTTTTTCTAATTTTAGTTGTTTTTTTTTCCCCTAAAGTTTTGCTCATTTAATATCGTAGCTAAAGTTTAGATAATTTTAGCGTTTAGCTACTGTTGTATTTAAGTTTTTGGCTATGTCTTTACAAATATTATCGTTTAGCTACAGTTTAGCTAATTTGTTTTGTTTAATTATTTTTTTCCTAAAGTTGTGCTCATTTAAGATTTTAGCTATTTGATCATTTTATCTTTTAGCTACTGTTGTATTTAAGTTTTTGGCTATGTCTTTACAACTTTTAGCTTTTAGCTAAAATTTAGCTTCTTTTATTTCCTAAAATTAAGCTCATTTAAGATTTTAGCTATAGTTTAGATCATTTTAGTTTTTGGCAATGTTTTTACAAATTTTAGCTTTTGGCTACAGTTTAGCTTATTTTGATTTAATTTTTCCAACAGTGTTTTCTAATTTTAGTTGTTGCTCATTCAAGATTTTAGCTATGGATCTTAGCTTTTAGCTACATTTTAGCTTTTTTATTTTTTTCTAATTTTTTTTCTCCCTAAAGTTTAGCTCATTTAAGATTTTAGCTATAGTTTAGATCATTTTAGCTTTTAGCTACTGTTGTATTTAAGTTTTTGGTGATGTTTTTTACAAATGTTATCTTTTGGCTTCTGTTTTGCGTCTCTTAGTGCTAAGTTACAGTTTTAATATGTTTTAGTTTTATTAGTTATGTTTTTTAGTAAGTTAATGGATTTTAGCTTGTGACTACCATCCTTCTTTATTTAGCTTGCATTCTGTTCCTTTGAGTGTCTTTTTTTATTCTTAACATCTGCATAAAGTGCTGTTCTAATTAAATGTATTTGTACACACTTACCCTAAACGTTTGAGTGAAATGTGTTCTTCTGTTGGACGCTGCTGTCTGCTTGCCTTGATGAGCGTAGCTCCTCCGAAGTGTCCTGGAGACCTGGTTTTTGTAGAAGAAGGTCCAGCCTTCATTCCCAGCTGCTCCATCCTGAACCCCAGAATCACCAGCCAGGACAACATCAGCTCCTGTGTTTGCCCAGATGGTAAAAAAAATGTGTATAATCGTGCTGTTCGTGTGCTCGTTCGTGATCCTTCTTACTAAAAACTGACACCACGTTGCAGGTAAGGTTCTGAATGACCAGTCGGATGGACACCAGTGTGTTCCCACATCCACATGCCACTGTGTGTTCAGAGACCAGATCTACCAAACTGGATTTGTACGGAGCACCAAGTGTCAGACGTGGTAAATAGACAGGAGATTTAAATACAATTTCAGTAAAAGTTATTTAATATTAGAGGCCAAATGGGATAAATGAACACGATGCAAAGAGATGGAGTTTATGCGCGATACTTTAGGGTCAAAAGATGAAAGGTTTGTGAACCTCTGACCTGGATTACAACAAAAATAACTTTGTTTAGAGATGATTGAAACAGATTTGAGTTTTCAATTCAAATGTAATTTTCTGTTCTCAGTGTGTGTAACAGTGGAACGTGGCAATGCGCTGAAAACTACTGCCCAGCCAGATGCATCATCGAAGGCCAGTTTGTAAAGACATACGATGGCAAACAGTACTCCATTCCTGGGAAATGTGTTTACTTGGCCTCCATGGTAAGTTGTTTTTAAATTTTCCCTACAGTCTAAATTTCTCAGTGTTGTCTGTCTGTTGTGCTAACTGCGTACATTTCTCTGCAGGGGTTCAACTGGACCATCAAAATTGAGTTCTCTCAAAAGGAACCTTCCCTGAAAACTGTAACTTTCCAGATTTTCCAGGTACGAACGCCCATAAATGATTTTATCGATCCATCAGAATCAACGTTGGGTTGGAAATAAAAAAAAAAAAATGTAACTTGGGAATTTTCAGGAAATTTATACCTTCACGCAAAGTATGGTTAAAATTGGAGACAAGGAGATAACTGAGATTCATCGGTCTGGTAAGAAGAAGAAATTGTTCCGTTCTCCCTGTTTTTTTAGCTCAAGGTATTTAATTCTATACCGGTTACACCACTTCTCAACCTGTGACACTGGACAGATCATGCCCTGGTCTTCTGGCAGTCCTCAATGTACGTTCTGGTCCACACAACCTTTGGTTTGAAGCTCCAAGTCCAGGTGTTTCCTGAAATCCAGCTGTACATCACGCCACCAAGGGACAACGCTGACGTGCTCTCAGGTTGGAAGCCATGAAAGTCGTTTCTTTGCCAAGTATAAACGTCCGAAAGGAGCGTTCAAACCAAACTGTTGTACGTATTCTGTGGCTCCACCTTGTTTGTATTTCAGGTCTTTGTGGGAACAGAAACAACGACACGACGGATGACTTCACCACCAGCAGCGGGATCATCGAGAACTCGGCCAAACTTTTTGCTCTGTCTTGGAGTTTGGGCACGTGCTCGGAGAACATTCCCAACCCCTGCGTCAACACAGACCATGGTACCCATGAATGCTCTAATAGGATTCAGATTAATATCTCACTTTGACACAAGAGCTTTGGTTAGCTGGTGTCAGAGTGCCAAGGCCATCACCTTCGGCTGCTACCTATGACCTCCTGCAGGTGGTGGGCCCACAGGGAGGCAAACCTATGTAGCTCATTCAGGTTAATCCTGACCAGGCCACTTGGATAGATACCCAGTCACCAGGTTCTTACTGACCAAGTTCCAGGACTGGGCCTTGGTGACCCACGTCTCGTCAAAAGATATTGAACTGCTCGTTGTCTTCTGTCCGTGTTGTGAATTGCTTTTTGGTTCTAGGTGACGGAAAAGACAACTGACCTTGGGAGACCCTACCAGGTGCAATGTACCCAACAGCTTAGATTATAAGATCATTCAGGGACTTCAGGGACTGACTGAAAGACCAAGATTATGGATGCAGGCCAAGTTTTCTCTGCAGGGTAGCTGGGCTCTCCCTTAGAGATGCAGTGAATTCAGTTTTCTGGGAGAGACTCCACGTCGAAAGGAGCCAGTTAAGTTGGTCCCTGAACGCCTCTCTAAGGAGTTAGGAGCATGTCCAACTGGGAGACCCTGGGGAAGACCCAGGACACGCTGGAGAAACTTCCCCTTGGCTGGCCTGGGAACACCTTAGAGTCCTCTTAGGAAGATGTGGATAGAGATGTCTGGGCCTCCCTGCTCAAGTCGATTCCCCCAAGCCCCGACTCCAGAACAAGTGGCAGATGATGGATGGATGGATGTTCTCACTTTAAAATAAAATAGCAGTATTTGTTTCTCTGCCGTCTTTGAATAAATTCTCATTTTTGCAGAAATATTTGCGGATGAGAAGTGCGCCGTGTTGAACAACCCAGCCGGGGTATTTGCTAAATGCCACGATTACATCCCAACTGATCAATTCCACACAGTAAGAATCGTCTACTCCCGATGGACACATTGCACATCTACTGTAAATATTATCGACAGGACTCTGCAACTGTCAAACCGTCGGGTGTTTGTAGGCCTGCATCCATCGGACCTGTAACTGTGGTGACAACCTGCTGCAGTGTTTGTGTGCTTCGCTGCAAAGCTACGCCAAAGCCTGCGCCAGTGTCGGGGTTGACCTTGGCGACTGGAGGAAGGCCACCAACTGCAGTGAGTTCAGCTATAATAGATGACGAACGACGTTTGTTTGACATTTTCTTGCATTTCTTAATCATGCTGTCCAAAGTGACAGTAGGTAAAACTAGAAAGTTCCTGGAGAAACTTTGACAGGGACTGCCACGCTGCTGCCAATTTAAAGTTTTGATTTAACAGGACTGTGTTGGGGTTCGCTCTCAGCTACCACCAAACCAATCAGCTCAATGTGGCAACAAATCAACGAGTTGTAGTCGTTTTTTTCTTTGAAGCTATGGTGGCCATCTTGGGTTTTTTTTTATTTAAATTCAGTATTTGATGGGGAACGTTTTCAGCTATCACCACACCAAACTTCAACTCTTTGTGAAAGTAGCTTAATTAAAGCCGTTTAAATGTAGCTTTGGTGGCCATCTTGGATTTTGGATATGGATTCAGTATGTGATGGGAAACGAAATTTTAGCTCAATATCTCTAAAATAAGCTGATTTGTAGTTTTTTTTTTTTTTTTTTTTTTACCTCAGGTGGCCATCTTGGATTTTGACTTGCATTAGGAATGTATGAAAACTCGCTCTCAGCAAATTTCAGCTCAATATCTCAAAGAATGACAGAGTTGTAGCAGTTAGAAGCTGTTGAGTTCTGTCAGGGATTTTTAATAAGAAAAATGGTGTCATTGTTAGCAAATTACATCACCATGGTAACTCAAAACGCCAATAAAAGTAATAGCAAACATTACAGAGCCGGTCATTTTTATATACAATTGTGGGGGTACACATTGCGGTTCATGCCCAATTAAAGTAGACGGAAGAGTAAGATATAAAGTTAAGAAACCCTTGTCAGGTGGATAATAATAGGTGCCTGCCTTACACTAGGCAGTCCACAAATATTTTTTATATATATTTTATAGACTGATTAGATATTTTCAGTGGCTGTTTTTTAGAAATCAAAGCATCTGAGGGCTGATTTATGAGACCGACTTGTTTGTTTTGTTACATAAATATAGGCTAACTGTTTTAATGTTCATACAACAATAAAACTATTTTAAAGGAAAGGTGGTGACTGAAGTATGATGAGCTACAGTTGACAGTAGAGTCCGTGGTAGTCAATGCTAAGAAGAATATTAGGCTAACAACCTTTTGGGCTACAGTTTACAGGAGTATCTTATGAAGACGTGAGATTTTTCCACTAGTTGGAGACACACATTGTGGGAAAAAATACAGATTTTTATTTATGTTTACACCAAACCCCCAACAAAGTTTGAGGCAAATCTTTGGGAACTTGCACAAATCAGCCATAAATTACAATTGTTGTTGCTCTAGAATTATGGAAACTAAAATGAGAAGCATTTGAGAAGGCAAATGCCAAAACAAAGTGTTTGCCAACTCTGTTAGAACCCAAATGATTATGACTGAAAACTTATTTAGTTCAATAAAAATATAAATATGATGCGAAGTAAACGCTTTTGTCTTGAAGCTGTTGATTGCACGAAGAACCTGGAGTTCTCCTACAAGACTCGAGCCTGTAACCGTACGTGCTTCGCCCTGGCTGGACCCGATCCTCGCTGTGAGCCGGAGTACGCTCCGGTGGAGGGCTGCGGCTGTCCGGAAGGAACGTACCTGAACCAGGGACTCGCCTGTACCCCAAAGGCCCAGTGCGTGTGTCATTACGGGGCTGGTACGACACCGCCGGGGCCTGTAGTCATCGACGGTCAACAGTGGTGAGTTTTACATGAAGCGTTCATTTTTAAAGAGTGATTTCCACTCATTTGGTGTTCGACTGTCAAGCTGCTCTGGAGTTCGTACCTTTGGTGTTTGATGCAGATTTAATGGTTTTAAACATAAATGTCTTTGTTTGTTTCTGAAAGCGTTTGTGAAGATGGAGAACTGCACTGCTCCAAGGACTGTGGTAAACCATCTTTCATCTTAAATTATGTTCCACATAAAGCCTTACTTCCCTTTTCTTATTTCTCCTTTAGGTCACCAAGTAAAACAGCCAGTCTATAATCACTTGTCTCTGCGCTAAATAAATAAATAAAAATCTGGGTTTATTATTTGTATTCCACTGTTTGTTGTGAAAATATAAATTTAAAGGATAATTTCAGTGAATTTGACATAATTTTTAAGTGCTAATTATTATTTTTAAGTGCTAATTTATGACTAATGCTAACTAGACAAATTACATTTCCTGCGAAAATGCTTAAGCTTAAATTAGCTAAAAACATGCTGAAATGTAGCTGAAATGGAAGGACAAGACTAAATTAGCAAAAGAAAGCAGAAAGAACTCACAGTTGCCGAATTAGGTTTAAATAAGCAGAAATGAGCACAGAAATTAGCTAAAAAAAGGCTGAAATTAGAAAAAAATTTAAAAAATAGCTGAAAAGTAGCTGAAAAGGCAGAAGGAATCTTAAACTACCAGAAGGAAGCAAAAAGAACTGAAATGAGCTCCAAAAATTTAGAATTAGCTGAATTAACATCAAAAGAGCTAAATGGTAGCTGAAAGAGCAGAAAAGGCTGAAAGGAGCATTAAAAGCTTAAATTAGCACAAAGAAGTTAATTAGGCTAAAAGTAGAAGAAATGAACATTTAAAACTTTTTAATTTATCTGAAAACAGCAGAAATTAGCTAAAATAAATGCTACAAAGGTAGTTGAAAAGTCAGAATAAGCCTAAATTAGCAGGAAAAAAGCAACAATAACATTTGTCCAGTTAGGCTGAAAGAATCAGAAATGTTTACAAAAAAGGTGGGAAAAAAGCTGAAATTAGCAAAAAAAAAAAAAAAACACCTGGAAAGTAGCTAAAACAGCAGAATAAAAGCTTGAGTTACCAGAAAGAATTGGAGAGAGTACACATTTGCTGAATTAGGCTGAAAAGGGTGCAAATAACTTGAAATTAGCCAAAAAAGCTAAAATTAGCATAAAAACGGATAAATAGTAGCTGAAATTGCAGAAAAAGCTGAAACTTGCAAAAATATGCTGAAAGGAGCATAAGAAGCTGAAATTAGCAGAAAGAAGTTAAAAGAAGCACAGAAATGTTGTATTTAGCAGAAAGAATCTAAAAGGATCACAAAACAGCTGAAAGTAGCTGAACTTTTTTTTTTCTTTTTTTGCCCAAAGAAGCTGAAAGAAGCTAAAGCAGAACAAAATGTGAAAGCAGCAGTAAAAGGTTGTAAACAGATCTAAAGACATGAAGGATGTAAAATGAGTTCAATTCATTTTCTATGAGGAAAAAAATGGCAGAAAAGGCGAAATATTTCAAAAAGCTAAAGAGGATTGTCCTGAAAGAGCTGAACGTTTTATGATTTGTTGAAATACAAAAATTGTGGAATGAGAAAGATGCTGACAAACTTATGAAGAAAAATGGATCACGATGGTGTGAATGGATTCACAAAATGTTAAGTTTAGTGTTTATCTTAGCTTTAACTTAGCCTAGCTTAGCTTATATTTGATTTTAATTAACTTGAGCTAATTTATTAAGTTAATTTACTGGTTTATATGGTTTTAGTTAGTTTATGCTATACGATATTTTACTCCAACTTTAGATTTTATTTTAGCTTAGCCTATGTTATCCTAGTTTATCTTTTATTTTACTTTATATTTTTTTAGTTTATTTGTTTTTTTGATACTTTTTTATACTAGTTTAGTTTTCTTGGCTTACTTTAGTATTTAGCTTAGTTATTTGCTCACAATAAAAATTGCCTGAAGTTTTCACAGAACGTTTGCTGTGGTGCTGATTTCTCTTCCGTCAGGCTGCAGAAACGGGAAGGTCTGTTTTCGCTGTTCAGAGTTTCCGGTGAACACGGCTCAGAAAACCTGCGACAGTCTCAGCAAACCGTTGGTGGGCGTCATCGGTTCACACGTGTTGGACTCGTTTCCACTCCCTTTGAGCACCTTCTGTTAAAGTTTAATCGTATTTCTTCTATTTTTATATTTCAGGGCTCCAGTGGGACGTGTGAAAGTGGCTGTTTCTGCTCAGAGAACGAGTACGAGGATCACTACGGTAGCTGCGTCCCCAAAAACAACTGCACCTGCGTGTACGGTGGCAAAGTGTTTGGCGCAGGACAACGTGTCCAAACCAGCTGCAAAACATGGTGCGTCCTGTTACTTTAGCTGCTGTAAATCCACAAACATTCATGCTGATGTGACTCTGTTCTTCCAGTGTTTGTAACCAGGGCCAGTGGGACTGCACCGATGAGCCGTGTACAGGAAAGTGCCAAGTTTATGGAAATGGACATTACCAGACTTTTGACTCTAAATGGTATCGCTTTGATGGACATTGTCAGTACACTCTTGTGGAGGTGAGACCTCTAAAGGCAATAAAATACTAAATGTTACCGTTATTTTTGTTTAAATGTGCAAAAAGTATCAGAAATCTGTACATTTATTATTATTGACCTTCAAAACTGAAAAATATTCAAAACTAGACACATTGCATTTCCTGCAAAAATGCAATGTGAATGCTTATTGCTGAAGAACTTGCTGAAAAACAGCTGAAATTAGCTAAAAACATGCTGAAATGTAGCTGAAATAAAATAACTAGCCTAAACAGAAGAAAGCAGAATGAACACGTTTGCTGAATTAGGTTTAAATAAACAGAAATTAACACAGAAATTAGGAAATCAGCTAAAAACTGCTGAAAAGTAGCTGAAAAGGCAGAAATAATCTTAACCTACCAGAAGGAAGCAGAAAGAGCTAAAAAAAAAAAGTGGAATTAGCTGAAAAGGTTAAAATTTGCTTAAAAAAACACTAAATAATAGCTAAAATAGCAGACAAAATCTGATAGGAGCATAACAAGCTGAAATTTGCAGAAAGAAGTTAAATAGACTGTAAATAGCAGAAATTGCCAAGACAAACTTGAATTTATCTGAAAACAGCTGAAATTAGCACAAAAAAAAACTAAAAGCTATCTGAAAATGTAAAACTAGCTTTAATTAGTAGAAGAAAGCAGAAAGTACACATTTGCTGAAAGAAGCAGAAATTAGCGCAAAAAGTAGAAATTATCTGAAAAAAGCAGAAATTAGACAAAAAAAAAACAGCTGAAAAGTACGGTAGTAGAGAAGAAGCTTAAATTAACAGAAGGAACTGGAGAGAGCACTTTTTTGCTGAATTAGGCTGAAAAAAGTTAAATGATTGCAAAAAGTGTGGAATTAGCTGAAAAAGCTTAAATTAGCAAAAAACAGCTATATAGAAGTTGAAATAGAAAAAGCTAAAACTTGCAGAAATAAGCTGAAATTAGCAGAAGTTAGAAGAAGCACAAAAATGTAGTTTGTAGAAAGAAGCAGAACAAAATGTGAAAGGGGCAGTAAATGATTGTAAACAGATCTAAAGATTTGAAAGATGTAAAATGAGCTCAATTCATTTTCTATGAGGAAATAAAAAAGTGGCAGAAAAGGCTAAATATTTAAAACAGCTAAAGTTGCACCAATACCAAATGTCAGAGCAGGATTGTTCTGAAAGAGCTGAACGTTTTGATTTGTGATTTGTTGACACAACTTGAAAACTGTGGGATGAGAAAAATGACAAAAAACGTACAGAATAAAAAAGGATCACAGTAGAGTGAAAGCTTCATAAACATTCGCACACGCATCCTAAATTATTTGTTCTGTCGTGTCTTTAAAACCAGCTAATTACTTGACTTTTATACTTTTATTGTCAGGATTACTGTAAAAATGGAGATGGGACATTTTCCATCAGAGTGGAGAGTGTGCCCTGTTGTGAAGAGGCCCTCACCTGTTCCCGGACCATCATCCTGGACCTGCAGGTGCGCTCCCGCCCATGACCTACAGCAGAATACTGGCCCGGTGTTCGGTTTACGTGAACGTTTCTCTCTTCCAGGACAAAGTAACCCTGACGCTGAGCGACATGAAGGTGACCAGACACCTCCATGACGGTTGGACTGTGGAGCAGGATACACTTTACACCACGCACACCGTGGGGCTCTACATTATAATCTCAGTGCCGAGCAAAGGTCTGACCCTCATTTGGGACAAGCACACGAGGATCACCGTAGAACTGCTTCCACAGTGGAGGGTGAGGGATGACGATTTAAAATAAAACTTGATGAGCTGTGGTAAAGTAAATAAAAAAATACTTATAAAACTATCAACACAAATCCACCCTCTAAGGTTTAACTCCAAACTAAAACGTAGAATCTTTGTTGGCTTTCAAAATTAAAGTTTTGAGACAAATACATTTGAAGCATCACCGGAAACCACTAATAGCAAAATGAGCACAGTTTAAATAAACAACTTATGTGTACTTGAGTCCTTTTCGACTTTTATTAAAGGTACAACATGGAATGCTGTGGAGTGGGGTTCTGCGGAGAAGTCATGAGCGGTCAATATCTTACGTGCAACAGATGGCTGTCAGTTTGAATAAAACGCAACGCTCGGTCGTAAAGCGGTTCCGTAAAATGGCAGCGCCGATCAGTATCACTGTGCGAGAGGCGGGGGACACCCTGGACAGGTCTCCAGTCCATCACAGGGACACACAAAGACAAACAACCATTCACTCTCTCTCAGTTTGGAGTTACTAATCAGCCTAACATGCATGTTTTTTAGTCTGTGGGAGGAAACCAGAGTACCCAGAGAAAATCCACTCATGCACAGAGAGAACATGCAAACTCCACCCAGAAAGGCTCCTGGCCGGGATTTGAACCGGCGACCTTCTCACTAAGAGGCAACAGCTCGACCAACGGAGCCACCGTGCCGCGTAACGGATTCCCGCCTTTATAATTTTGTAAACTGAACAAATTAACTCCGTTTAGCGATCCTCTTTGTGGTTAATGAATTCTTCAAACCAGCTCGACCGTTTCGGCTCTGTTACTACGTCGCTTTGCAGCACAGACACATCGAGGGTGGGTTGGTTTTTATCCCCCCCTACTGCCTCGATCCATTCAGAAATCACTCCGAGGCGGACAGAAGTCCCGGCTTGACGTGTTTTGAAAATAAGCGAAGAGACTTTTGTCTGACTGGCTGGTCGAGCTAACAGCTAGTCTAAGCGGCGCCAAGAACAAAGTGGGTTTTTACCGTCCTAAAACAATTTTAATGTCAGAAGTACCGTATTGTCTGACATTAAAATTAACCGCTGAGTACATTTATCACATTCTGCTTTGTTTCAGATCGATCAAGGTGATAATAAACCACAAACCAACACTACTTAATGTAAACAACTGAAGATTTCTAGATAAATAATGTATAAGAGTAATAATAATAATCATGATAATTTGCTGTGTGAATGTATAAATATATATATATTTTACATCTACCACTGTAAAACGTTATAGAATAAACACCTCAACAATATTTTTTATTGGTTTAAGGAGGATTTAATGTCTTGGTCCTGCTCAGATTAGCCATTTGCTCAATTGTCTGACCAGAGAGTCGAGTTAATGTCCTGCAACAGGTAAGATACTGACCACTCATAACTGCTTCAAAGAACCCCACTTAATTAAATTTTACATATACATTTAATGTATTTCATACCATAAAGAAAATAAAGACCATTTAAAAAGATGAATACCATGAACAAAACAGATTCAGCATCTTGAGTTAGAATAAATTTATTTAATAACTAAATTTGCTCAAAATTTGGCTAAAATTTTAGTAATAATTCAAATCTAAACATGTGCCAAATATGAGTTGGCACAAACGGCTGAACGTAAAACTCTCAGGACTCGATTCTGACTGTAAAGCTGTAACTTTGCTTCCTTCTTCCGCTGAGATCTTTGATCCACGTCTCCTTTAGAACAAGGTCTGTGGTCTTTGTGGCGATTTCGACTCCAATGAGATGAACGACCTGCAGATACGAGGCTCGGCAGGTGAGTTCTCTGCACAAGTACCTTTTTTTTTTTCCCCCTGGAACTAAATCCAAACTTTGTTTTATTTTATTTTTTTAAAGTGGTGTCCAGTCCGTTAGCTTTTGGCAACAGCTGGAAGTCTGCCTCTCCTCCTTGCTCCGATGTGACCGCGGAGATATTTCCCTGCGACCGAAACTCCTACTGTTCAGCCTGGGCCCAGCGGCGCTGCATGATCCTTACAGGAGACACGTTCAGGGACTGTCACTTAAAGGTATTTACACGCAGCAGGACGTCCTACAGGTCTGATAACAAGAGGGTAATGATGAGAAGAGATGCAGTTCAGTCATTCCTGAGACATTTGTCCGTACTGTGAAAAGTTTAATCTTGAAAGTCTCTCTTTTTTTTAATCGATCTGCTGGACGTTGATCAACCCTCAGGTGGATCCAGAGCCCTACTACCGCGCCTGTGTGCAGGAGTCCTGCTCTTGTGAGTTTGAGGGGAAGTTCCTGGGCTTCTGCACGGCTGTGGCGGCCTACGCTGAGGCCTGCAGCGATCACGACGTGTGCATCAGCTGGAGGACGCCTGATCTGTGTCGTAAGTGAAACCCTTTCGTGATCGCGTAAACAAAGCCGTCTTCGATTCAGACGGTAGAAGAAATGTTTTTAACCTTTTTTATACGGAGCCCGCTGAGTGCCAGCTGTTGAAATAATAGGGGAGGTTACAAAAATAATTATAATTAAAAAAGTAAAATAAACAATACCTGTTTGGTCACATAATTCAAATCAGAATTTGATTTTCTTTATTTCTGTCCACAGTTAAACTAAAATCAAACGTTCGTAAAGTTCTGGAGAGTTTTCTTCCTCGTGTTACTTCGACTGTGTACAAAAGTTTGAGTCTAATTTTGTTGATTAAAGAGACCAACCCAGTGTTTCCCTTACCATTATCCAAGGAGGACGCCCCGCCTACCAACCCCCTTCCCCACGCAGCTACGCCACTTCCGGACGGGGGCCTGTCACGATAAACAATACATCAATTAATCGCATGATAAATAAAAATTATCTATCTCATTTTTATTTATCGGCTTTATCGTTTCTTCTTGTCTCTTTCTCCTGAAGACACTGGATGACAAAAGGCTCCGGTGCTCTTCACTGACCCCGCCCTTTCTCTTTGTCTTTAAATCTATTTTAACCATCCAAAATTGCGTTTTTGGATACCGACCTCGAGGAAAAAAAAAACCTCTGTCTCGTCAAAGCTCCAAAATTCACAGTTTCAACTTGTGCCTTGGTCTAAAAAGTTGTTTTTCTCTGCAAAACAGAAGCTGAGAACTTGTTTACTGATTTTTAATTAAAAGCTATGTGGAACTGAAACCACACCGAGCGGCCACCATTTTGAGAACCACAAAACGTCACATCAAGGGGCCTCCTTCCCATTTTTCTTAAAGAGACATGCTGCTCGCTCCCTCACTATCCATCCTTCGCTTCATAGTCTTATACTGCCATCTAGTGGTCAAAAAAGGTACTGCACACAAAAATTAACCAACATTTCTTCTTAAATTTGACAATAATTACTAATTATTGTCAAATTTCAAACAATATTATCGTTTATCGCAATAATTTCTGAGACAATTAATCGCCCAGCAAAATCCGTTATCGTGACGGCTCAGCACAGACATAGCATTTGTACCATAATGTTTCACGTTCTCCCCACACCCCATCGTCAACTGCCGGCACCAGCAATTTCACCATAGCGCTCTGCTAACCGCTGTTAACGGAGCTGACACGGTCCTGGGCGTCCCCCACAGCCCCGTTACTCTGACGGCCCACTTGCCTCCCAAGCTGAACGCATCAGCCAGCAAACCCTCTCTCCCTAGCGAGCAGTGTCTGTTCGAAGCAGCACAGCTGGAGAAAATCCGCAGCCCCCGAGGTCTCACCTGTCTTGCCAGGACGATGTTGTCTAAATCTTTCTGCATATGCATTTCCGTGGCGTGATTATAGATCCCCATACTCGTGTCGGACCTCATTTCCCTCCCTCAGGGAACATCGGTTTTATTCATAACCTCCAGGTTAAATGTTTGAAGGTTGTTTTAGAAGTTATTAGCCAAAAAAATTAGTGCAATAATATTTAACACCGAAAGTTTGAGCTACACCCATTTACATATAAAGTACCCACCCTTTATTTTAACCAAGTCTCGTTTACTTTCTTTCTTTTTTTTTTTTTTTGCGTTACATCTGTTTCTAACAGCAAAACGTATTCTGTTTCGTTTTTATCACATTATAAAATTATTTGTAAAATTTAAAGTTCGCCCTATAATTGTATTTTTTAGCGGTCTACTGCGATTACTACAACGGGAAGGACGAGTGTACCTGGCACTACAAAGCCTGTGAAATGATGCTGGCGTGTGGAAAAAACAACTATTTTACTCACAAACTGGAAGGTAAACGATTATTCACAGTTGTCTTTGAGTGTAAAAAAAAAACGAGAATAATTTTTTCCTTTGACTTTATGGTGTTTTTTCCCCATTTATTTAGAGTTGAGAGTATTCGTTGTTTTATTGTTGGTCTAATTGGTGCTTACAGAACCCAATTCACCGTATACAAACGTGTTTTCATTCTATTTTTTGGTTAAGGCTGTTACCCCACATGTCCAGAGGAGGCGCCGTTCTATGATGAGAATGTTGGAAAATGCACTCAGTTGAGAAATTGCTCCTGTTATTTTAATGGCACTGTTGTTCCACCCCGTGAAATAGTGATAATTAACTCAGTTAGGTGGTAAGTTGACACTTTCACGTAATGTGTTGACATTAAAATGTACATTAAAAGCTAATTTGTGTTTCTTCGATTCCCTTTTCATCAAGCTCCTGTGAAAATGGAATTTTTAATTGCAGTAAGTACATGTTTTTTTTTTATTAACGTGTACCTATTGTGTGTTAAAATACAACCCTAATTTAAAAAAAGTCTGGACTGTGTGCAAAATGTAAATAAAAAGAGGACCCAATCATTTGCAAACCGGAGAAACTCGTATCATATTCACAAGAAAACATTGTAAACGCATGAAAAACTAAGAAACTGTATAATGTTTATTTAATTTGTTTTGATGATTTTTAATTTTATGGCAGCAGCACAATTTAAAAATAAAAGATGGGACCAAAGACTGTAGAAGTAAGTGGTACGAATCAGAAACTTTTGAAACAGATCAGGATAATTCACAACAGATCAGCAGGAGGACTGGGTATAAAAATAACATTTTAGAGAGGCTGAATATCTTAGAAGTAAAACTGGACAAAAAAAATTGTTCCAAAATTCACAGTTGAAACCCGTGTCTTCATGTAAAAAGTTTTTTTCTGCAAAAAGAAGCTGAGAACTTGTTTATTGGTTTTTTTTATTAAAAGCTTTGTGTGAGAAATGCTATGCTAAAGAAATCAAACCACACAGAGCGTCCGCCATTTTGAGAACCAAAGAAAGACAGCCCGTGACTCGTCAAGGGGCCTCTCCCATTTTTCTTAATGACACGCTGCTCACTCCCTCACTATCCATCCTTCAATTCAAACAATCTTATACTGCCATCCAGTGGTCAAAAAAGTTACTACATTCAAAACAAATTAACAAACATTTATACTTAAATTTGACAATAATTACTAAATATTGTCAAATTTCAAACAATATTACCGTTTATCGCAATAATTTCTGAGACATTTAATCGCTCAGCTAAATTTGTTACCGTGAACACCATCCAGAGCTGCTGCTGTCTTCTCTGGACCAAAGCTCATTTGAAATGGACTGAGGCAAAGTGGAAACCTGCTCTGAGATCAAATTTAATCAAATTTTCAAATTATTTTTAATAAACCACAGACATGACGTCCTCTGTATTAAAAAGTATATGTACTGTAGTAGTGTACATATTTTCCTTACGTAGACATCTCAAAGTGAGGCAGTCCTGTTTTTGCTACAAGCAACTAAAGACAACTTTGTCGTATTTTTCTTTTTTCTTTTATTTTTTGTCCATCTGGAAAGAAGGCAAGCTTGTGATTGGAAGGTTACCGGTTCGAATCCCCTAACCATTACATCAAAGTTTGGGTATGAAAGGTGAAGCACCCACATCTGCCTCCGCCCTCATTTGCCCCACTCTGGGCCCTTGCACAAGCCCCACAATCTGCTCTCCCGGGCGCCCTAGATGTCATCCCTCTGCTCCACACATGTGGGCTACAGTAGCTTGGTGGTCTGTCGTTGCATCACACCTGCCTCCACCTTTGTTTTCCCCACTCTGGGCCCTTGAGCAAGGCCCTTAACCCCCAACATCTGCTCCATAAAAAGGTGTTTCTTGAAAATGAGTTCTCGTGACTCAATGAGACTACCTGTATAAATAAAGGTTAAATAAATCAGGAAGGGCATCCAGCATTGAAACAATTGCCAATTTTTTGTGCTAGTTCACTCGCTCTGGCAACCCCAGAAGAAGAGAGCAGCCAAAAGAAAATATTTGCTTCCTTCCAACAAAGAAAATCCAGGACTGCTGACCAGCTATAATCCACCGTCAGACCAGAATGGGACAACACTCCTTTCAAAAACTCCAGGACCCGGTCTTCTCAGGTCCTGGACTTTTACAGACTTCTTTTTTAAAGGAAGAAGGACTTTTTCACAGAGGGAAACATGACACTGTTAAGTTTTAGAGATGTGCTGCTGCCATAAAGTAAAAAAAAAAAATCCCTTACTTTTTTCCCACAAAATAATACAATATACATTTTTCACAGCATCCCTACTTTTTCAGAATTGGGTTTGTATGCAAAGATGTCAGCTCAGAATTGAACAAAAATTTGCTAAATAGAAGATGCCAAACTTTGTATTTTTTAGAAACCCTTTTTCCAAACTTCTACCATAACTTTTACTTCTACAACAGAGACTATCATTCCTATACCTACAATCGTGGCCACCACCTCTACGTCAACACCTACAGCTGGTTCAGCTACAACATTCTTCTCCAGCAGTGCATCTACAAATTTTTCAACAACCTCCATGGCTACCATCACTGAATCATACCCTACATCTTCAACTACCCCACTTATTGTCACTCATCCTGCAGCAACTCCACAACAGCAATCTACATCTGGACTCATTGTGGAAATTACACATCCTACTGTGATGTCCTCGACTAAGCAGGTAACTTCTATGGGCCCGAGCACATCCGCAACTGTTGAGATCATCTCTACGACCGAAGCCACGACTCAACCAACGACTGAAGCTACGACAACCCCGGTAACAACTCAACCAACGACTGAAGCTACGGTAACTCCGGTAACAACTCAACCAACGACCAAAGCTACGGCAACTCCGGTAACAACTCAACCAACGACCGAAGCTATGGCAACTCCGGTAACAACTCAACCAACGACCGAAGCTACGGCAACTCCAGTAACAACTCAACCAACGACCGAAGCTACGACAACCCCGGTAACAACTCAACCTACGACCGAAGCTACGGCAACTCCGGTAACAGCGCAATTCACTCCGTCAACTGGTGAGTGCTTTGAATTTAAGGACACCGATGCATTATTCTTCAGTTTACATCACAACTTTCTGTTCACAACTTCTGCCTCATATTTTTTAGTAAATTCCAACAATAAATTAGAGAACATGCGGCTCAACATGTAGTAGAGTGCTTTTGCTTTAGGTAGCAGCACGTGGAACAGATTGGACAAAGTTAGCACAAACTGGAAGGAGTTCCCCATAGACCACCGTGAGAAAACCCAGCCCTCTTTGAAACTCTATAATTCACACTAGACACATCTTTAAAAGTTTAAACAAGTAGTCACAAGTTAACTGAACTGTTTTTTATATGTCTGTTAAAAGGCGAATATTACGGTATAGTTTCCGTCCGTACATCTGCAAATATCACAAGGATTGAATACCCAGAGCAAAGGACTGAATATGAACAACACAGGAAGGCAAGTTCAGTGCTTTTATTTACAGTGAAGTAATCACAAGAAATTATCAGGAACCCTGGGGAGCAAGGGAAAGGGTCAGCACTGAAGTTCAGCAGGGATGATATTGATTATAGACTGTCCTCTGGATCTTTACTAGTCAATGAATGATGTTTTTGAAGAGTGGTTCCAATAATCCTGTGTGAGCTATGGTAATCCAGTGTGGAAAGTAGTCACTGGTGAACGAGTGGTTGAAGGGCAAGGAAGACAGCTGAGGATGTCACGAGGAGATTTCCAGAATTACACAAGTAGTCCAAGAACAGGTAGGTCTCAGGAGGTTCACTGGAAACAGCAAAAGGTGCAGGTAAGTAAACTTAGGTCTATAGAAGTATTAATGGCTAGAAGCACGAACCATTGGCACGGTAATGCTCCAGCATCGAAGAAGAGTCATCATCTGCCTTTTATACACTGGGCATCTCATCACAGAGATTGGTCTCAGGTGTGGTCGTCTGGCGCCATCTAGTGACTTCAGGAAAGAAGTGACTGGAACGCCCCCAGTAAACTTTCTCCTTTCCTGCCAATAACTTCTGGTCTGCTCAAGATAATTTAATGAACCTTCATACACATACCCATCATAACTAGACTGAGTGTCACAGATGTATTTTATCACCTGAGATCATGGTCAAAGATAAAACAAGCTCTTTCTTTGTCCAGGCCATTGCTATAAATTGCTGTAGAATAGTTTGACGACAGATGTATAATGTGCCATATGAGGTACGCTTGATGAAATGTTTTGTAACTTTAACACAATTACAGTTTTCTTACCATATTTTAATGATTTTTCATTGAAATGGTCAATTATGAGTGGAATACCACACTAACTTGACCTGTCAGAATGTTTCAGGCTCTTAATTTAACAAGTTTACACAACTTGAACAGTTTTTACATCCAAATATTGACTTTTCTGATTGACTGTCGTTGCATTTGAGCTCTGAATTTCATTACCAAACACTTTTGCCATTTCCAATTAAGAACTCCTTTTTAATTCAACATTTCAGTGTTACTGGTCCTCCTAGCTGCAAGCTCCACCAATAACCCAGTGTTCTGTCTTGTCCCTGTCCACTACAGCTCATCCACCCACACCAAACTGTATCTGCACTGATATCAAAAGGGGACTAACTTGGTCTTGTGGTGAGACCTGGACAGAGGACTGCTTCCATAAGAGCTGTGTAAATGGGAGAATACAGTTGATCCCAGTGGTTTGTCCACAGTCCGCCATTCCTGCCTGTCCCAGAAATCAGGTTGTAAAAATCACGGACGGATGCTGCGACACGTGGACGTGTGACTGTGAGCGTAGACATTGTGATTCATCGTACTTTAATCGCTCCTCGGTTTCTGTCGCCGTCAACTAAAGATTTAATTTATCGGCAACATTTCCAGGTCGCTGTGAGCTGTACGGAGACCCGCACTTGATCTCTTTCCAAGGTGTAGCTTTTGATTTCCTGGAAAACTGCACCTACATTCTAGTGGAGGAACAGTCGCCACACTATCATCTGACCATTGCTGTGGACAACTTCTACTGCGTGCCAGGCTTACAGGGCTCTTGTGCCCGAAGCATCATCCTCAAGTATCAGAACACCAAAGCGACTCTCCACATCACTGAGTCCTTTACAATAAAGGTGGGACATATTTATTTTACTACGTATTATTTGAGAATATGTTTCATTGAGTCAGAGGTTTTAATTCTGACCTGATCTGCCTCAGGCCACTCTAAACGATGTGTCCATACAACCTCCGTATGAGAAGGACGGGTTGAGGTTTGAAAGCACGGACTACGTGATGTTCATCTACATTGCTGAGATCCGCTCCTTTGTCTCTTTATCGCCGTCCTACACCCTGGTGGTCAATCTTGCCATGGAGCACTTCCTCAACAACACCCAGGGACAGTGCGGTATGTTTTAGCCCTTCTTTTTATTATCTTCAATCATTAATGGGTCCTTTATTACTCAAACTCAAATTTAAAGTAACTTCACTTAATTGTAATTATTGCATTACCCCTTTAACTTTATGACTGTTCTTGTCATCATACATGTTGATGATCTCTATCATATGCCACATACTCGTTCTGTGACGGTTCAATACAGACATTTGGTCTGGATACAAGAACCTAAGTGACAAAAACTCTCAACTAGAACATTTCTTCTACAAAACGGATTCCAAAAAAGTTGGGACACTAAACAAATTGTGAATAAAAACTGAATGCAATGATGTGGAGATGGCAAATGTCAATATTTTATTCGTAATATAACATAGATGACAGATCAAAAGTTTAATCTGAGTAAATGTAACATTTTAAAGTAAAAATATGTTGATTCAAACTTTCACAGTGTCAACAAATCCCAAAAAAGTTGGGACAAGTAGCAATAAGTGGCTGGAAAAAGGAAATTGATCATATAACAAACAGCTGGAAGACAAATTAACACTAATTAGGTCAATTGACAACATGATTGGGTTTAAAAAGAGCTTCTCAGAGTGTCAGTGTCTCTCAGAAGCCAAAATGGTAAGAGGATCACAATTCCACCATTGTTGCGCAGAAAGATAGTGCAGCAATACCAGAATGGTGTTACCCAGCGTAAAATAGCAAAGACTTTTAAGTTATCATCATCAACCGTGCATAACATCATCAAAAGATTCAGAGAATCTGGAACAATCGCTGTGCGTAAGGGTCAAGGCCGTAAAACTCTACTGGATGCTCATGATCTCCGGGCCCTTAAACGTCACTGCACCTCAAACAGGAATGCCACTGTCAAGGAAATAATAGAATGGGCTCAGAAATACTTCCAGAAAGCATTGTCAGTGAACACAATCCACCGTGCCATCCGCCGTTGCCAGCTGAAACTCTACAGTGCAAAGAGGAAGCCATTTCTAAGCAAGCTCCACAAGCTCAGACGTTTGCACTGGGCCAGGGGTCATTTAAGATGGAGTGTGGCAAAATGGAAGAATGTTCTGTGGTCAGATGAGTCACGATTTGAAGTTCTTTATGGAACACTGGGACGCCATGTCATCCGGACCAGAGAGGACAAGGACAGCCCAAGTTGTTATCAACGCTACATTCAGAAGCCTGCATCACTGATGGTATGGGGTTGCATGAGCGCTTGTGGCATGGGCAGCTTGCATGTCTGGAAAGGCACCATTAATGCAGAGAACTATGTTCAGGTTCTAGAACAACATATGCTCCCATCTAGACGTCATCTCTTTCAGGGAAGACCCTGCATTTTTCAACACGATAATGCCAGACCACATTCTGCAGCAATCACAACATCATGGCTACGTAGGAGAAGGATCCGGGTACTGAAATGGCCAGCCTGCAGTCCAGATCTTTCACCTATAGAGAACATTTGGCGCATCATAAAGAGGAAGGGGCGACAAAGAAGGACCAAGACGATTGAACAGTTAGAGGCCTGTATTAGACATGAATGGGAGAGCATTCCTATTTCTAAACTGGAGAAACTGGTCTCCTCTGTCCCCAGACGTCTGTTGAGTGTTGGAAGAAGAAGGGGGGATGCCACACAGTGGTAAAAATGGACTTGTCCCAACTTTTTTGGGATTTGTTGACGCCATGAAATTTGGAAACAACAGATTTTTCCCTTAAAATGAAACATTCTCTGTTTAAACTTTTGATCTGTGATTTGTGTTCTATTCTGAATAAAATATTAGATGTTGGCACCTCCACATCTTTGCATTCAGTTTTTATTCACAATTTGTTTAGTGTCCCAACTTTTTTGGAATCCGATTTGTAATTTATTGATCCCGAGTAGTATCCGTCTTATCTCACCCCACAACTTCTCTGTGCCCATGCATTATTACACGACGGTGTCACATGCTCATTCCGTCATCCCAGCTCCAAGGTCAAGGTCACAAATCAAGGTCAAAGTCTTTGCTCGATCCATTGCTATAGATTGCTGTATAATAGTTTGTTGACGGGTGTATAATGTGCTGTATGTGATACTCCTGTCCAGTTATTATTGATCATCAGTGTGGGTTTCAAACCCAAACTTTGGAGGTAGTAAACTCTGAGGTTTTCTGTACAGTCGTCAAAGTACAGCTGTAGCACCCCAGACGGGTTCGAGACACCCACCAGCAGTTTTTGTGTGTATTTTCAGGAACTTGTTGCACCAAGTTTCTGAACACGTTCAAAACTCAAGCAGCAGGACTGCGCACCTCTGCAACTCACGCAAGGAAACGAAGAACGCTGCAAATGTTTACTTTTGAGAAAAGAGTTTCTATTTGGCAACCAGTCAGTTTCCAGTGAGACGTTGGTTTTAGACTCTTCCCACTAAGAAGGGTGGTTTGTGTTTCTTTGCATTTGAGAGTTGCTTTCTTTAAAACTACAAAGATGAACTTACAGTTGGTGTTTTTTTCCTCCCTGATGCACCGAACCTTGACCTGCGTGCATCGTTAACGCCCCTCGTTAACGTTAAGCTTGTTGTTATTATTATTTACTGTTTGATCTTCAAAGCCTCCAGTCTGAGACTTTACCGTCTTGTTTCAGGCGTGTGTGGCGGGGCGTCGTGTATCCGCAGAAGAGGGCAGATCGAAGACGACACCTGCTGTGGAAACACAGCCTTCGACTGGCTGTACGACGACCCCTCGAAGCCCGACTGTTCTTCTTTACCATCAAATGTATCCTGTCTTGCTGGGCCCACTAGAATCCCTAGCACGCCCCCAAATTGTTTGCCTAATCCGCTGTGTGAGCTGCTGGACCACCCGTAAGCTCCCCGCGCCGATCGCCACTCTGGGTTAGTTTTAGCTTTATAACACGTTCACTGTTTTCCCACAGGGCGTTTGCAAACTGCAGCCAGTTTGTGGACCTGGCTGTTAAAAAGAAGAACTGCAAGTTTGATTCGTGCACCAGCCTGAACGCTTCCTGCTCCGCTCTGTACCAAGCTGCCGAGGAGTGCAAAACTGCTGGTGTCTGTGTAGACTGGAGGGAACTGACTGGTGGAGTTTGTGGTAGGAGCCTGTTTTTATTCACCTGTCTAACGCCGAGTACAGCCAGGCACATCTGTTGATTGTTGTCTCCATGTCTCAGATATTACATGTCCAGTTGGACTAGATTTCATGGAATGCAAAGAGACGCTCGACGACTTCTGCTATGGAGGGTTTGGAAACGCCTTGTATTTGTCTCCGTCATATCCTTGAAGGTACTCGATTGTCAGTAGCTCCAATTCTGTTTCCTTTCTGGTTTGGCCGTTCAGGGTTAGTTTTCCTGGATCCAACCTTGAAAAGATGAGTGCCGGCTGTTTCTGTCCCCCTGGTCTCGTCAGAGCAGGAAACCACTCAAATATCTGCGTGGAAAAATGCAACTGTGAGTTTTCTGGTGTGCAGGAGTGATGTTCAGGTTCAAGTGTCGCGCATCAGAATGAGACTTTTTGTTTCTCCGCAGACTGTAAAGGACCACTCGGCGAGCCCAAACTCGTAAATATATTTTCTCATTTGCTTCAAGTCTGTTCGTTGCAAACATTTACATTTAACGCAGGGTGATTTCTCTTATTATTTCATGTTTTTATGCTTTTATTCATGTTGCTGTAATATCTTGTTATTAATATTTGATGCTGTGATCTTTTTGGTAAGCACTTTGATAACAGTAACTGTTTTAAATGTGCTATATAAATAAATGTGACTTGACTTCTGTTGCTGGTTTCCAGCCCGGTGAGGTGTGGGAGTCTGACTGCCACCTGTGCAGGTGTAACAACCAGACTTGGACCGAGGAGTGCGTTCCAAAACCTCGCTTGCCGACTCCGTTGTGTGCCCCGAGTACCGTTTTGATGAACACAACCTGTTGTGGTGATCCAGTCTGTGGTAAGAGCTTAGAAGTTGGACTTTGTAAACTTGCATTTTCCAATTTGGAATCTAAAAAGATTGCTTTCTTTATCAAGGTTCTTTATTGTCATTCTCATCTCATATGGTACATGAGGTGGAACGAAACTGTGCACTCAAAGTCCCAGTTACACCCAAAAATAGCAAAAATATCAAGTATAAAAAGAAACGGTATACAAAGATCTAAAAAAATATGCTTAACACTAATAATGTAATATAATACAGTGTATTAAACAGCAGCCTGAACATGAGTCTGTAGTGAGCAGATGGTATGAATACAGCAGCTTATGGGTAAGAAATTGGCAGCACAGCTGTTACATATCACTAATTAAAGTGACATTACAGTAATTTTTCTGGTTAGATATTCATGAGTCTAACAGCCTCAGGGTAGAAGCTGTTCCTCAGTCTAGTGGTTATACACTTAATGCTCCACAACCTCCTTCCTGAGGGGAGTGGGGCAAAAAGTGTGTGTATAAATGAGCTGTTGAATTAGTTGTTTGAGACATAATTAGTCCACTCTGTCTTACCTTTTAATCAGAATCCCACTTCAAAAGGTTAGAACTATTCCTTTACTTTTAGAAACAATTTAATTCCACCATTAGACCTCATGCCATGCAGTCGTCCTTTCACAATAAAACCCTTGAACATTTTTTTTCATCTGGATCAAAAATTGAGCTTTCGTCGTTTAATCTAAAAGGAGACGTTTCACTCCAGTAATTATTTACCCGCGTAGCTCCAACCAAGCTCATGCAACACCGAAGCGCGAATGTTCTTTAAATTTAAAGTAAAAGTGAATTTAAAGTATTTAACACATCAAAAATACACATTGTTGAACATTTATATATAAAACTTTTATTTAATGGCAGTGAAAACTACTTCTCCCACAATTCTTTGCTGCTTCACCTAATATTTCCTCTTTTTTTACTGGACGGTTTGTTTGTTTTTTAGTTGAGAAGACGTGCAGTTCCCGTGGACAGACCTTCAAAGTATGCTAAGTCAAATCTCTTATTTTATTATTAGGCCTAAATGTCTAGTTTCTGCTTTTCATGTCTCCTTTCGGTGTTTGAAGGTGGGAGAGAAATGGATAAATAGTGCTCAGCCCTGCACGTCCTTCACCTGCACCACAGAGGGCATTCAGACTGAAACCAGCGTCTGTCCCACAGAAAGCTGCCCAGAGGTGCCCACTTTTACTCCATCACTCACATTTATTGCATTGACTTCACCGTAAACGTGTCCTCAAATTAAAATAAATAATTTTCTCCCAAAGTTACATGCTTGGAATTGATATGTTCTTATTAAAAAAGTTATTTTATGATGTTAAAAACAATAATCTGTTCGTACAAAGCTAACGTTAAGCTGTTGTATTCCAGGAGGACAGAGTTTGGGATGATCAACACTGCTGCTTTTCCTGTAAGTAAAGTTAAAACAACATAAAGAACTAACTTGTTAAATTTTCACCTTTTAGCATTTTTTGTCCAGAAACTATTTTTATTTCTGCGTCAAGGCCCAGATTCACTAAAAATGCACAACACCTGATTCCTTCTCTATCATTTGCTCCTGCAATTAGCTCCTTCTCAATATTCTCAGAGAAAACAGGGTTAATTATGCACCAGCACAAACATTTAGCAGGTGTGAGCAATCTGCGCTCGTTGGCATGAAATCAGGGCGATCTGAGCCCACAGACACCGCAGGGTCAAAAGTGAGAGAGAGAAAGACAAAATGGTTTTCTCATAGTAAGTCCCAGGTCTACGGAGGCACGTTTTAGGACTGAATGAACGTCACTGCATCAAGGAGGCATGGAAATTACATTTTTATTAAAACGTTACATTTTAGGATTTCCTTTACCGCCTTTGCAACTTTTTCTTAATACATTAGCAATACAAAGTACAGCCTGGTATATATTGTGGACCAGGTACCATACCATACCAGCTTTATTTATAGAGCACTTTAAACACCCACAGGATCAAAGTGCTGTGCACATAATAAAACAAGTAAGTATATCTTAACTAGGCCTGTCGCGATAAACAATAAATCAATTAATCGTATGATAAATGAAAATTATCCATCAGCTCTTCACTGACCCCTCCCTTTCTCTTTAAAATCTGTTTTAACGATCCAGAATTGCATTTTTGGGATCGTTAAAAGCAGCTAAGCTGAGAAGCTAACTACGAGCTAAGCTAACAGGCCGACCTCAGGAACAAACCTCCGTCTTGTCGAAGCTCCAAAATTGACGGTTGAAGCCCGTGCCTTTGTGTAAAATGTTTTTCTCTGCAAAAAGAAGCTGAGAACTTGTTTACTGATTTTTTTTTTTATTTATTAAAAGCTTTGCGTGAAAAATGCTATGCTAAATAGCTCAAACCACACTGAGCGTCCACCATTTTGAGAACGGAAAAACAGGAACGAGAGACAGCCCACGTCACGTCAAGGGGCCTCCCTCCCATTTTTCTTGAAGACACACTGCTAGCTCCCTCACTATCCATCCTTCAGTTCAAACGGTCTTATACTGTCATCCAGTGGTCAAAAAAAGTACTACACACAAAACAAATTAACAACATTTCTTCTTCAATTTGCTATTTATTGTCAATTTTCAAACAATATTATCGTTTATTGCAATAATTTCTGAGACAATTAATTGCCCAGCAAAATTTGTTATTGTGACAGACCAAATCTTAACAAGTCACTTCATTATACAGTGTGGTCCTTGTAACATGTATGTGGCAAAATGTACCCACTAAGTACAGAGTGCTTACCTCGTACATACCTGATACAAACCTGATGAAGTGATATTTGACAGTGTACTTACAAGATAAATACCAGGTAAGTACCCAATCCAGTCTGGGTTGTATTGCTACTTTTAATACATCTGAAAATATATATTTTTATTTCTATCTGAGACCAAGTGGGGCTCTCTGGGGCCTCTTTCTGTGCAGCTGGAAATTGATTATCCTCAAACAATTATCCTGTAAGGTAATTACTTTAGGTTCTGTTTAACCTCTGAAGGTGAAGCACCATCTGTTGGAACGTTCTGTTAGCATGGGATTTTGCACTTTCTTGGTAGTTTCTTTGCAGATAGACAAACTTTGGCACTCCTCTGAAAGAAACAGTTATACTTTTCCTGGCATACCTACTCTCTTCCTGCAAAGCAGCAGGTTGCTCTGACAGTTTAGCCTTCCGCGGTGTTAACGCCCTTTCAAGAAAGGATACATATTTCTCACTGGATGCCACAAACAGCTCTGGTCGTTTGAGACTTTGTGATGGTAATTTGCACAAATATAGACAGGCTTTAAATGTTGGTAAACTTTGGTAACAGAAAAACCATTTGGTTGGCAGCACAGTTTAAGGCACACGTCTCCCTTTGCGAAGACTTTGAGGAACTTATGTCTGTTGGTAAATGAAGGTCAGAAACTCTCCAGCTGTATTTGTGAGGATTTGTGCTCCCTAGTATATCGCCCTCTTGTGGTCTGTCCTAACTCCTGCTGCTCCCACCTGTTCCTGAGTGTCTTTTCCCCCAGGTGTTTGTCATCGTCTGTCGTTAGCGTGTGTATGTAAGTCTGCGTCTCTGTGTTCCTCTTTGTCTGGGCGTTGTTCTGTATGGCCCGAGTCCTGCCTGCACATGAGTTCCACCAAACACCAGAAACTTTGCAGTATTCAATGAGTGAGCATACTTTTTGAAGATCGTTAGCCTTTTTAATCGCAGACAGACGCCATTTGGTTGGCAGCGCAGTTCGAGGCGCATGTCTTTCTTTGCTAAGACTTTGAGAAGCAGTTCAGAAACTTTACTTGTAGAATTTGTTTAAAATTAGTCTCTTTTCTTTTAATTGACCTAGGAAGTAAAGACTTTAATTGAAATATATTTGAGTAGAAGCTCGGGGTGATATTTCTGTTTCTTCCAACTCCAGGTAATTATTCTTGCGCTCCAAAAATGGCCACAGTGAACGTCACCGTTCAGAGCTGCGAAGCTGTTGTGCAGATCGCTGTGTGTCAGGGTCTCTGCTCCACCCAGCCCAGGTAAGATTAACATCCAGCTGTCAGTGTTCGGGAGGAATTATTTTAAAAACAGCCCACCGATTGTCTGATTTTTCTCAGCGTGACGATAAGCAGCGACCTGCAGGTGCAGCAGGAGTGCAGTTGCTGTCAGGAACTGCACTCGGAGAGGAGAACCATGACCCTGAACTGCTCAGACCTCGACACCAGGCAGTATGCGTACGATCACGTCACCAGCTGTGAGTGCAGAACTTGCAACACGAGTCAGGACATGCCGGGGCCATAAAAACACAAAAGCTATGACTTTTATATGTTTTGGGAGAGAAAAAAAAATGTTTTTTTAATTTCAAGAAATCATAAAATCATTTAATTTAAATAGGTGATCACCAAATCGTTGTTTTTCTTGGATCAACATACAATAAAATGTTCTTTAAGGTTCAGATCTGTTGAGTGTTTAAGCTTTTATACTTCAGTCTTTAACTGTTTCACTTAGTTTAATAATCGTTTTCGAGCCGTTAAAGGCCGACTGTAATCACATTCAAAACTAATTATTTTGTGATATGTACATGTGAGAGTCTGATGAGATAAATTAAATGTCATGAGGCAGAAAAAGACAAAACAAGAAGACTTCTCTTCCTTTTGTTGCATTGAGAGTCAGTCCAAATCACACATGACTCTACATGCTCTCAAGTCAAACTGTGTCTCTGCTGTTCGATTACTCCTGCAACCACTGGGTGGATATTAATGAAGCGTTCAGGAAGTAATCACTGGGTTTACATCTATAACCGATTCAAGATGGCCACCACAGCTGATCAACAGTAGCCAACACAAAAATAGCTTTAGCTATAAACATAAACAAAAGAGTTTCTCTCCTCTCTGACTCCTCGTTTTGTGTTATGATAAAAACATGTTTGACGTGTTTCAGATCTTGCAGTTTGTACAGCTGCTGTTTATCAAATGTAGGTACGTCGTGTAAAGTTACAGGAACGTCCGTGTTGTCTGAGAATGTAACAGCTTCAGCTATTTAACACTAAATCTGCAACAAATTCACAGAAAGTCATCCGTCTTGTCTGCTCTTTAGGTTGAGCTCCTGTGAATCAAAAGCTTTAGTTCCTGTGCTCCAATACTTTTTGTCCCCTGTTGCAAAGCAAAAAGGGGGAATGTTGACTTTTTAAATGCAGAAATCTGACCGTAAGTGGAAAACTTTATGAACTGTTATAGTGAGATAATCTAAATTAGATTTTTGAAGTTTTAACTGTAAATGACTGCCTGTTTGTGTTTGTTGCAGGTGCTGGTCATGAAATTAGAATATCATGAAAAAGTTGATTTATTTCAGTAATTCCATTCAAAAAGTTCAACTTGTATATTATATTCATTCATTACATGCAGACTGATGTATTTCAAATGTTTATTTCTTTTAATCTTGATGATTATAACTGAAAACTAATGAAAACTCCAAATTCAGTATCTCAGAAAATTAAAATATTGCGAAAAGGTTCAATATTGAAGAAACCTTGTGCCACACTAATCAGCTAATTAACTCAAAGCACCTGCAAAGGCCTTTAAATGGAAGACTGCTGACTTGACAGTTGTCCAAAAGACGACCATTGACACCTTGCACAAGGAGGGTAAGACACACAAAAGGTCATTGCTAAAGAGGCTGGTTGTTCACAGAGCTCTGTGTCCAAGCACATTGAAAGACGAAGTGAAGGAAAAGATGTAGTAGAAAAAAGTGTACAAGCAATAAGGGTAACCGCACCCTGGAGAGGATTGTAAAACAAAACCCATGACAAAATGTGGGGGAGATTCACAGAGTGGACTGTAGTTGGACAGTGCTTCAAGAACCACCACGCACAGACATATGCAAGACATGGGTTTCAGCTGTCGCATTCCTTGTGTCAAGCCACTCTTGAACAAGGGACGGCATCAGAAGTGTCACTTGGGACTGCTGCTGAGTGGTTCAACATTATGTTCTCTGATGAAAGTAAATTTTGCATTTCCTTTGGAAATCAAGGTCCCAGAGTCTGGAGGAAGAGAGTTGAGGCACAGAATCCACCTTGCTTGAGGTCCAGTGTCATGTTTCCACAGTCAGGGATGGTTTGGGGGTGCCATGTCATAGGGGTGGGTGATATGTCTCAAATATAATATTGTGATATTTCAGAGCATTCTGACGATAACGATAAATTTTGTGATATAACAAAAAAATAACAGAAATCATAGTTATTCATTTGACAAAATTAATGTAACATGTTGCTTTGAAGTAAGGCCTAAATGTGGAATTGTTTATCATAAAACTTTTTTTTTCATAATAATGGACCAAAGATTCCATTTTATTAATCAGGATCAGTTCTTGTCTAAACTGTAGTTAAGATCCACAATGAGCTCATTATTAATAACTAAAATGACTCCAAACTTTGTTTATGTTCATATAGGACATCATTCAGATAAAAAACAAAAGTTTTCTCTGAGGTAAGGCGTGTCGCCCTCAACGTGTCAGCTCCAGCCTTTAAACAGAGTATTTGTTGGGGGTGACTCTCAGCTACTACCACACCTAATTAAAATCCAATATTTGTAAAACTGACTGAGTTGGAGCCATTTTTGTGTTGGCTAAGGTCGATTAGCTGTGGTGGCCATCTTGAATTAAGATGACTTCAGAATAATCAGTTGTATGACTTCTTTCTGGGAGCTTCATTAAAGCATGTTCAGTGGTTCATGTAATATTTTGCTAACAGGTCCCCCTTTAAATGAGTCCCCGTGGCTCAATGGGATTAACCTGCATAAATAAAGGTTGAATGGAAAAAACAAAACAAAGTGAGAAATATAATTTACAGTGTGATGGCTCCCTCTCCTGGCTGAGACTGATGCTGGAAAAAAAAATTCTTCAGCCTCGAACATCTGGAGTCACTTGTAAAAATGTGTCCTTTTATATGAATCAAATGAAATACTGACACTGTGGAGAGAAACAAAATAAATTAAAACTTTTAAATAAATATTTCCCCTGAGCCTGTTGTTTTTACCTTTTATCACAGAGAAATGTCAGTTTATCACGTGATGGACGACAGCGAGCAAAACAAAAGTGTCTGTATATTTATCATCTAATCATCTGTCTGTTACAGAGAAGTCCTTCCCTGTAAAGTGCAGCGTAAACTTTTTATATTATTATTATTATTCCCCGAACACTAAAAGTTATTTCAAGCAGAACAGAAGCTCAAAGCAGCATCTAAATGGAAAAATGGCAACAATGTAGCTACAAACAAAAATCTAAGTTTAGAAAAACCGTAGCTAAATCGCAAACTAGCCACAACTAACTACCGTAGCTCAAAGCTAAACGTAGCGCGACTGAAGCAAAAGCTGGTGGGGGCTCAGTCGTCGAGGGACAGGTAAATCCAACAAGAGTAATAAAAAAAACAGAACTGGACTTGTGTTCTGTGGCTGAAGACGTTCGGCTTCCCATGCGGGAGGTTTCATCAGTTCAGAAACTGTTCACCTGAGCTCGTTGTGCCTCACGGTGGTCGGGCACTTTGGTGAAGAGAGAGGCGGATAGTTCTGTTGATGAGGGAAGTGTACCGGACAAACCTGGTCCACCAGGTGAGGGAACTGGGGACATGTTTCCCATGAGCCTAATGGAAATCTTTTTTATTTTACAGTATAAATAAGTCATGTTGTTTCCTCCTGATGGCACAATCAAAAACCACTGTACCGACCTTGTCTAGCCCCGTTGGAGAAACAAGTTGTCACTAATCTGGGAGTGAAAATGGACCCTACCATGAAACTAAACAGTCAGGTAAACACGATTGTTATATCCTGTTTTGTTTTGTTTTTTTCAGTTGAGGCGACTAACTAACTTAAGTCCACACTGTCCAAAAATAACCTGGAGACAGTAAAACATGTTTTCATAACATCCAGGCTTGATTACCGCAGTGCTCTTCTGTTTGGCATCATCAGACTCTACTGCTCGTTTACAACTGGTTCAAATGCTGCAGACTGATTTTTAACTGCAAAGAGAGCACATTACACCAGTTTTGGCCTCCCTTCACTGGCTCCCAGTTCACTTCAAAATTCATTTAAAAACCCCTTTGTGTGTTTTTAAACCTCTGAACAGTTTATTATCTCACTGATCTGCTGCAGCCATATGCCCCACAGAGCTCTCTGAGGTCAGCAGATGCTTCTGTTGGTTCCAGGAGTTCGTTTTAAGCTCAGAGGTGACGGGACCTTCTCTGTTGCTGGTCCAAAACTGTGGAATGAGTTACCACCGCATGTCAGGCAGGCTCGCCCTCTCACTGTTTTCAAGTCTGGTTTGAAAATTCACTTTTATTCCCGGGCTTTTGACAATGTGTGATTTGATTTTAACTCGTCTGTATTCTATCATGTTAATTTAGTTGTTATCTTTACCTCTGTTAATCCTGTGTCCTTTTGCTGTGCAGCCCTTTGACCTCGCTGCTGTTTTAAGAGCTTTATAATAAAGTGGTATTGTATCTTTAATTCACGACGTGTAAGAGGAGTAAAGGTGAATTTGTGTTGAATTACTCCAAGTTTAACAAAGTTTAACGAGATGATATGATCCGAAAGCCATTGTTTGTGGCAGGAAGCCTCTGTTGGTACAAGAAGACTTTGATCGGGTCCTGGAAGCACCGAGTCGTACAAACAAAACAAATAAAATAAATCTCTCCGAGAGGAAAGTACTTGTTTCCTTGAAACCAGCAAAGTGACGGAAGCAGCAGCTCGTACAACAACAAACTATGTTCATCGCTGCTGTTCGTTTGAAAGGGAGCGACACCCGGGACGTTCTGTGATGTTCAGAGGAGGATGTGTGGGACCGTGGACGTCCGTGTGTGTTTGCACTCCGACGACCTCTGAACTGTATTCCAACGGTCAGACAAGCATCCCACTGGAACAACTTGTGTGGTTACCGTCGCATCCGCGCGTCCTGTCCGTTGGGAGTCTTTGGTTGGGGAGGGACTGGACAACCTTTTATTTACACAATCAACAAGACCAGCGGCTCAGTTACTGATTGCAGTTGATTTTATAATTTATGTGATAAGACCTCAACTTCAGGCGCAAAGTCCCGCAAGTACAGCAAACCTTCAGCTGGGATCCACCATACTGGGTCGCTGCTGACTCACAGGTAATACACTTTTTACTACTTTATCTGGAAGGTTTTCTCTCAGGGCGGTCAGAGGAAGTGCTCTGCTTATATAATGCTGGTGCACCCAGACCACAAATTAACAGTTAGTTTAGAAAAAACAACTTGTGGTGTTTTTTTTTTACTTCAAGGCTTGTTAATATAATTATTTTATATTTAAACTCCTGCATCGTTTTATTTATTAGATTACTTTCTTGTTGCAGGTTTTGTTTGCTGTTGATTCTTCGTTTTTAATTAATAAGCAAACGGACGCATCATGAGTGTGGAGTCCAAAAGACCACGGGAGGCTTTTTGCTCTAAGCTGAAGGTGAGTGAAATGTTACCATGTATCTGCATTGCTACGAACATAAAAGCACTTTGGCAATGTTTAATTTCTTAACCGTGGACTCCAACACCTGATTGAGTGTAAATAGACAAAGTGATGCTGATAAAGATGTTAGGGGTTGTCGAGGTTTATATTGTCGTTAAGCTGCTGTGATGAGAACTTTTATCACATAAAAGCTGTTACGTGGCTCATTTTGTCCATGTGTGCATAATATACTCTGAATTACAATTTATTTGTCCAGAAAGTCATGCCTTAGTTAATAATCAGGTTATTAGCTTTCTGATAACGGTTATTTAAAGAGAATAAAACACACAGAAACCTTAATGAACCCTGACGGAAAGGCTGCTGAGTCACATTTACCGGGGAAATCACGAGTTATCTCTGACCTGCAGGTTACTGTGTATTCCTGTTAACCATTAATCTTTGTGTCGAATGTATGGCTACATAAAAAATAAAACGCCGGAGAAATTAAAATTATATATATTTATTGTGCAATTTGCAGACAAAGATGGAATTTTTGTGCCTTGAAATTATAACTGACAAAAAACAAATAACAAAAAAATCAAACTTTCAATTCTTTAATAGATTTTTGGGGCTCTGAGCTGCACCTAGCTAACCAAAGCTAACATTAGCTTCATCGATTTCTTGGTTGTCTAAGATTTACTTTAAAAAGCGACTCTTTGTAGATGGTTTCAAAGCGTCATTGTTGTTGAACGGAGACTAAATCTGGATGTTAAAGGCCAAGAAGTGACACTTTAACAACAACGCCCCACTTTAATCTGTAGTTTTTCAGCTTTAATATTACACAAGAGGTTTTTTTCCCCTGGTGTCCATTTAAATCTTGTGCCAAAAGATGTTTTGTTAAACCAAGACCAATATGTTTCCAGTCAAAATAACAAAATGACTAATATCAAGACATTTGGAAGAACTGAAACTCCTGGTATGCTCAACAAAGGGATTGTGAGCTCCATTAAGAGACTTTTTCCTGTAAAAGTATCACAAATGGTGAACCAGACACATGAATCAACTCCTAATAACAACTTTAAAAACCAATTAACACAGCTTTTATTTATTTTAGATACTTGTGGTTTGATCTAGTGTAACCCTTTACTTAATATCCAGATAGTATGAGACCAAAAAGAGCAACTCCAAGACTATGAAAAAGTTGAGTGTTTATTTACAAAATGTGAATCAACAGTAGAGCAGCAACTTAACTGGGAGGAACTGGAACCCCTGAGAGCAAGGACAGATATTAATACGATGGTTTGGATCCTTGAGTATGGTTCAAGATATCGTCTCTTACTATCGGAGGAAAAGTTCATCACATGGGTGAGGCGCCGACAGTTCCAGTAATCACAAACGAGGAGGTTCCAGAAAGGTTGCATAGATCGGTGGACAGGTGGTGGAAGACTGGAGGAATCACCAGGAGGCTTTAACGATGAAACCAGGGAACACCAGAGTCAGTACATGCGAGTAGTGTTGTAGTACTCGAGACCGGTCTCAAGACCACTTTTTGATGGTCTCGTCTTGGACTCGATCGCATTTGGTCTCAGGATTTTATTTCAAGACCACATCTGTGGAAATATCACTAAGTTGCCAGAATATTGTCCAGTTTGTTTGTCAACATCTTTGTTTTTATTGGATGCAAAACGTACTGGTTCAAACCCAAGCGATAACGTGACTCGTTGCTAAATACATGTTTTGTTACCGTGTCGCGCCCACCCCCTTTCACTCGCACACGCCCGGGTTGCCAGATTGGGCGGTTTACTGCCATTTGGGCAGTTTTCATTGTGATTTTGCTGGGAACTCTGGGAAGATTTTTGTTGGGTTGTTGTTTTGCCACATATTGTTAAATTACCTTGGCTTATAATGATGTGCGTTCATGTTCAAACAGTAAATATTTTGTAACAATACATTGATTGGGCAGATTTTTGTCTGATATGGCTGTTTTTAACAGATTTTGGGGCTGGAAAGCCTCAACTCTATCTGGCAACACTGGTCACTCCAAGAAAATGCGAAGTGATTGAATCACATGAAGTTAAGCCACTGAATGTCTGATTTCTTTATGTAGCTTTGAAAATGTATAAAAGCTGATATATTCATTCAAAAGCAAATTTAAAATTGCAGTATGTAACTTTTATTAAAAAAAATATTTTATAATGAAATTTTATTTTATTTGAGGTCTTGGTCTTGACTTGGTCTCTGCTTAGGTGGTCTTGAACACAAAACTACATGTGAGAGAAGGTTTTAGTCTTTAGGAAAAGTAAACTGGCCAGGAACACAACTCCCAGTAGGCAGGCAATGCACCAGCGTCGGATTGAAGTCATCAACTGCCGTTTATACTCCTACTGCTCGTTAGGGTAATGGTCTGCAGGTGTGAGCCTGTTGGCGTCCTCTGGTGTTGGAGAGCTGTAGGGAAAAACTGGAACTCCTACATTTAGTGCATAAAAAATGTTCAAGTAATATCTGTGTTTGGTCTTTAAGAAGATATTAAGAGTCAAGTAAATCCAAAAGTTCAGTCTCTTTGACAGATACATGAAAATCACGTCGTCTCTGTTTGAATCAACATTTCTCACCAAGTCTAACCAGAAACGTGTTTTGCAGCTTTTTTTGGTCTCGTTGGCGTTTGTGTATTTTGCCAAAGCTTTTGGCGGAGCCTACATGAAGAGCTCCATCACCCAGATTGAGAGGCGCTTCAACATCCCCAGCTCTCTGATTGGGGTCATAGATGGCAGCTTTGAAATTGGTATGCACACACGCTGGTTAATGGAGATTATTTTTTTAGATGCATCATTTTGAAATGGCGGATAAATTCTGCAACCATTCCTTTAAGGCAACTATTTTCTTTCTTTATTCGTAAATGTTTTTCTTCCCGACTCTTCCTTCCCAAGGCAACTTGTTGGTTATCGCCTTTGTGAGCTACTTTGGTGCAAAGCTCCATCGACCACGGCTGATTGGGGTTGGCTGTTTAATCATGGCCGTCGGCTCCTTCCTCGTAGCGATGCCTCACTTCTTCCAAGGACCGTTAGTACCCACAATTACTCGTTTCTTGTCTAAACTCAAGCCTGGGTTCAGGAACAGAATCCTTGACGAACCTCTCGATTGTTTCCAGGTATAAATATGAAACCAGCATGTCTCACAACGCTCAGGTCAACAGCACCGAGAACACCCTGCCCTGCTTGGCCAATCACAGCTCAACAGATGAAAATGAAATGTTTGATTTTGAAACACAAAAAGGTTTTTATCACGTTGGTGTTGAAGTTCATCCGTTTCCGTTTTAGATTTGACTGAAACGCTCCGTGGTTTTAAATCGACTTTTCCTTCCCTCAGCTTGTGAAAAGGCCGTTGGCTCGTCCATGTGGATCTACGTTTTCTTGGGCAACATGTTGCGAGGCATCGGAGAGACTCCCATCATGCCTTTGGGAGTGTCCTACCTGGATGACTATTCCAGACCTGAAAACACGCCTTTTTATTTGGGTTTGTTATTTTCATTCACGTTTAACAGCACATCGCCCTGTCTGGGCTTTATGGCGTTTTATTTAGTGCAATATTTTCATAATTGTTTTTTCTTCATACTCGCTGTACCATCATACAGGTGCATCTCAAAATATTTGAATATCGTGAAAAAGTTGTCTTTTTTTGGTCAATCGCTTCATAAAATAAAACTCATGAATTCATTACACGCACAGTGAAATATTTCAAGCCTTTTTTTTTAGGATTTTCATGATTTATGTTTCACAAATAATGAAAAAAAACAAGATTCATTGTATCAGAAAATGAGAATATTCCACAGCCAGCTTTTAGTACCTTTGTCAGTGTGGACTGGAGCCGAGTCCTGTGAAGCTCGTCAGTAGAAGGAAGCATGAAGTCTCTAAAATGTCCTGCTAGATGCTGCGTTGACTAAACCCAGTGGACCAGCAGAGGACATGGACCCAAACCATCACTGACTGTGGAAACTTCACTCTGGACTTCAAGCAGCGTAGATTCTGGACCTGTCCACTCCTCCAGACTCTGGGACCTTGATTTTTAAATGATAATGACTTTTACTTCCATCTGAAAAAAGAGGACGTTGGACCACTGAGCAACAGTCCAGTTCTTTGTCTCCGCAGCAGGTAAGACACTTCTGATGTTGTCTCTGCTTCAGGAGTGGCTCAACACGAGGACTGAAACAGCTGATTAGGGTGTGACACCAGGAGTTTGAAATATTGAACCTCTTCACGTCATTTTCTGATACACTGATTTATTTATTATTTGTAAGACATAATACATCAAAATGTGGTGGGAAAGGTGAAGCATCCACACCTGCCTCCACCCTCATTTGTCCCACTTTGTGCCATTGAGCAAGGCCCTTAACCCCCAACATCTTCTCCCTGGTCGCCCTAGATAGCAGCTCTGCTCCACACAGAGGGCTGTGGTAGCTCAGTGGTCTGTGGTTGCATCAAGAAGGGCATCCAGCATAAAAATAATCGCCAAGTCTTCATGTGAGTTAGTTTAATGTGGCGAAGGGAGCAGCCGAAAGAAGATTAAAAAAGCTATAATCGCTAAAATTACAAGAAATAAACACTTTCAATATTTCACTTTGTTTAATGAATTAATATAATATACGAGTTTCACTTTCTGAAATGATTGGCAAAAATTTTTTTTTAACTTAATCACAATGTTCTAATTTTTTGAGACACACCTGTACATTGTCACATGATTTGACGTAGATATACTTGTTTATCTTGTCTCCTTTCTTTATTTCAGCCGTTATCCATACAGTGGGCATGTTAGGACCTATGGTTGGATTCATGCTCGGGTCTTTCCTAAGCAAGCTCTACGTTGACATTGGATTTGTCGATTTAGGTATGAGACTGCATTTTCCACAGAGAAGACCTTTAGTGGTGTGTGGTAGTATTGTATTTTACCATTAACAACTCAAGAACCTTAAATGACAAAGATAAGACCAATGTTTCAGCGGATCTAAACCTTTGGTTAACGTATTATATTCATTTATTCATTAACAATTCAAGAACTGGACTTTGTAAAGGTTGGACCAATGTTTCAGCGGATCTAAACCATTGTTTAACATATTATATCCATTTATTCATTTACAATTCAAGAACTGGGCTTGTTAAAGGTTAGACCAATGTTTCAGCGGATCTAAACCTTTGGTTAACATATTATATCCATTTATTCTTTAACAATTCAAGAACTGGACTTGTTAAAGGTTAGACCAATGGTCCAAACAATCTAAACCTTTGGTTAGCAAGCATTATGTCCATTTTCCCATTAACAGAATAAGAACCGTATCGAGATTGTTCTAACATGAAATAAATAAATACAAATAACATTTGTCAAAGAGCAAGGGTTGCAAGAGAATTACCCAACAGCTCACTCTGACATAGTAACACAAGCTTTACATAAAGGCATCTAGAGTTCATTCCAGTGAACCCATTCCACTTTCTGTCCTTACTTTCTCCCAGACAGCATCAGTATTACCTATAAGGACTCTCGCTGGGTGGGAGCCTGGTGGCTGGGCTTCATAGTGACCGGCACAGCAATTCTGCTGTCAAGTATCCCCTTCTTCTTTCTGCCCAAGTCTCTGCCCAAACAGGGATGCGAGGAGAGCAAAAACAAAACCACAGAAATGACCACTGTGGCAGAACAGGAGAACTTCCTGCCAGATGAGACTCAAGGAGGTGACGAAAAGGAGAAACCAGTCACATTTGGCCAAATGGTCAAAGGTAACTCACCGTTTAGATTCAACATAATGCGTGACTGTAACCTTTAAAGATTTTTCAGAGAACAAAGTCGACACACGAGTCATGAGAAACTGCAACAAAAGGTTGAGAACCGGTACTTTTATTCCAGAACGAGGGGGACTTAATTTTTTTTTTTTTTTTTTTTTTAAATCACTAGATTTTCTTCCTTCCTTGAAGAGACTGTTCAGAAACAGCATCTACATCATCATGATCCTCATCAACCTGGTTGCCGTCAACGGCTTCATCGGCTTGATCACCTTCAAGCCGAAGCTCATGGAGCAGGTCTACGGCCAGGCGGCAGCCAAGGCCATTTTTCTCATCGGTACGTCCCCCCCCCACGCACTCCAACCCTGCTGTAGCAGAAACAATGATGTTATTGGAAGGAAGTGTGATTGTGTACGATGAAACGCACTTAAAACGTAACCGCTAAATGTCTCCTTGTGGGCTCTTCTTTTGTCCAGTTGTTTGTGAAGTTGAGAAGCTATAAACGGCACTTTATGGCGGTTTACCTGAGCGGCTGATCAACCTTGTTGGAATATAAATTGTCACCAAACATAAAGCAACAGAGACCAGAACCAGTTCAGGTTCATGTGTCTTTAACAATCAGTCTTTTAGCATTGGTTATTTAGAATTAGACTTAATTTTGGCACCAAAAAAGCAACATTTACAAATACAATTGATCGTGACTCTAAAGACACAAGTGGTGCTGTTTTACACATTCCCAATAATAAACCATGGATCCGTTCATCCACAGGGATTATGAACCTGCCAGCAGTAGCTCTGGGGATCATCACCGGTGGGTTTATGATGAAACGGTTCAGGATCGGCATCGTCGGAGCATCCAGGGTGTGCATGGCTTCAACTTTGGGGTCCTTTCTTTCAATGGCCTTGCAGATTTTCGTTCACTGTGACAACGCTGAGGTGGCTGGGCTCACCGTCTCATATAAAGGGTGCGTGGTGCACACAGAACTGTAAAACAATTTGGAAGAAAACTGGACTTTGTTATCAACTTGAAAAGTTCTGAAGCAGTTTTGAAGAACACCAGTGCAGCTACTGCTCAAGATCCCGTCACCTTTCTTCTAGATATCCCAATAGCTCAGAAACAGTAGAAGTCAATGAAAGTTTGAACGTATAAAAACGATCATTGCGTTGTTTTGCACCTCTTTCTATGCGTTCATCTTGTTATAATTAATGCTTGCTGCAAGAGATGACAACCTTAATAGTATTTAGCTTGACATTTGTGTTTTCCTTGTGTCCGACAGGTATACAAACGTGTCCTACAACCAGCAGACTTTGCTATCCCAGTGCAACATGGGCTGCTCCTGCTCCTTGAAGCACTGGGACCCAGTGTGTGCCTACAATGGCATGACGTACGCCTCACCCTGCCTGGCGGGCTGTCAAACCTCCTCTGGAACGGGCAGGGCAATGGTAAAGCGAAACTCCTAAACGCACGTTGACAGAAATTATTATTTTTTTTAAGTCCCTAATTGAAGTCGCATTGTGTTCTTTCTCTTCAGGTGTTTCACAACTGTACCTGCATTGATGACGTGATGACCAAAGCTGCGAACAGGTCAGCTGTGCTGGGCCAGTGTCCCAGGAAGAGCGACTGTGATCAGAAATTTAAGATCTACATGTCTATATCTGTGGTGGGATCCTTTTTTGCTGCTTTGGCTGCCACACCGGCATACATGGTGCTGCTTCGGTACGACATGCTAACGCTAACAATGTGTATTAGGTGTGTTAAAATGGCTAGCTGCTAAAAGTGGGACACTTTGGTGACGGTGTTTTAGGCTTGAAATATGCACAGCCACAGATTATTTTTTTTTTAGTTTTAGCAGAATGGAAATAAGTTTTATTTTAATATTTTCGTAGTAATACATAATACAGCCTGGTACATACTGGGTACAAACCAGGTAATTACAGAGTATTCACCTGTTACTTACTGAGTACTTGCTAGGTACTTAACAATATACCGGATACCTTACTAGGTATGCACTTGGTATAATCAAGTACATATTGAGTGTGCCATGTATTAACCAAGTATGTATTGGGTATGTACCAGATACCTGCTGGGTATCTACCAAGTATGTACAGGGTATATGCTTGGTAACAAAATACATATTGAATATGTACCAGGTACATACAGGGTACTTATTGTGTATGCACTTGATATTAACCAAGTTCATATTGAGTATGTATTAGGACCTTGCTGAATATGTGCTCGCTACATGCACAATATTTACTGGATACTTCACGGACATGTACCTGGTATAAACCAAGTACAAACAGGATATTTACAGGGCACTAGCTGAGTACATATTGAGTATGAACTGGGATCTGCCAAATACGTACTGAGTAATTATCGGATACTTAAAGGTTGCATACCTGGTATTAACTTAATACATACTGGCAATGTGCCAGGCATTAGCTGAGTACATATTAAGAGTGTACTGGGTAAGTACCTGGTATTAACCAATGGCTACGTGCCAGGTATTTATAGAGTACAAACGGGTACAAACCAGTTACTCAATTGTATGTACTGTACATAATGAGTATGTATCTGATACAGAGTAGGTACTAGGCACTTTCTGGATACGTACCAGGCACTTTAATTTATTGTTACCCATTTTTATGTTTAGTTGGTTTAAAATATAAATATATTATTGTCCCACGTTAATTTAGGTCTATACAACCAGATTTGAAGTCTTTGGCCTTGGGAATGCAAACACTGATAGTAAGGTGTCTAGGTGAGTATACAAACTAAAGTACAACACAAGAACACACACTCATGATGGTTTTTCTTTTCTTACGACACGACACAAAATGTCATCATGTAGCCATCAGTTTTGTAAACCTTGTCAGGTGGAATCCCTCCCCCGATATATTTTGGAGCACTAATTGATCGAACGTGTTTGAAGTGGGGTACCAAGCAATGTGGAGGACGTGGAGCGTGTAGACTCTATGACGCCAACACATTCAGGTACAGTAAAATCAGATCAACCCTTTGGTCAAAACGACCCCCGAGGGCTCGGCTTAAAAAAACAAACAAATCCAACTTCTCTTCCAGATTAACGTACATGGGGTTGGTCAGCGGAATATACATCCTACCCAACATTTTGTGGGGATTCCTCTATGTCAAAATTGTCAAGAGGGAAAAGAAGTTAGCTCTGAGGAATCAGGCCAAAGAAAATGAAGTGGAGGCGAACGGCGAGAGCAACGGACACGCCAACATCAGCATCGCCAAAAACAAACAAGACACAACCACGGAGAGCACAATTTAATGTGCTGTGGGAAAGCTACGCATTATTGTAAAGAAGATGAACGCTTATGTACTGTTCTCCATCCATAATGGACCAAATGCGGTAACGGTACAGTGTCGGCACTGTTTGGTCTTCAAGTGGTATACCTCTTCCTTTTTTTAAATATCGTCATAAAATAAACATCTTCAGAGGTTAAATATCCCAAAAACAAACAAACAGTTATTGCGACATAATTGGAAAGTCAATTCTCTTTAAATTTAAGTTATTGAATCCCTGTGCATTGTGTGGTCTTTAATATTTAAACTCAATTAAAATTAGGTCAAATAATGGCAGTTATGTCAAATTTGTCATATTCGTAATGTCTGACACAAACATTTTAAGTGATTGTACTTTTTTTTTTAATTATTCTTGTATAGTATAAAAGCAGTTTACTCATTAGTACAGCCAAACTAAGGTCATGTGGCCCAATGGTAGCTCTGTGTTACCAATGGTTATAAGACATAGTGCATGATATTTAGAGAAACAGGCAAAAGTCTTTGTCCAGGCTAGGCTAACGGTTACCCAAAGGACCAGCTTTGGAGGGTTTATAAAATGCTAACGGTGCTGAATGTTTTATTTTTCTGCCAGGAGTTGAGTAAACTTTTGGACTGACTGAAGTCTACATACATGTCGTAACAGACGTTTTCCGGTTGCAAAAACGGCAACAAACTGAACAAACGTCATGCTGAAGTGTATTGTTTGATATTAGCTAATGTAGCATTCCTTAGCAGTGTCAGCTAATGTAGCGTTCTTTGCAGCAGGAAGTCATTTTAAGCCTGAAATAAACTGACCCTTGCTTGGTTAGGTGTTAGCCCTGCCTGGACAAACACTTTTGCCTCTTTCTCCAAACTTCTTGCAGCGTTACTGATGTCACGGTTGAAAAGGTAATAACTATTTGAATATCACTTCAAAATTGACTGGACTATCTCTTTAAATGCTCTGCTGATGTCTTGTTTTATGCTAGGACTTTTGAGTTTGTAGACAAAGCTAAAAAAAAAAGTTATTTTTGTAGATGACTGTGGCATGTATGCAACAAAAGCAAATATTTTTGGTGACATTGTTAGCGTTTAAGATTTTTTTTTTTAAGCCTTGTGCTGTCATCTGTGTTTATTTTAAATGTACTGTTGCTTAGCTTAGCTTAGCTTGCTAACGCTTAGCTTAGCTTGCTAACACAAAAGTGTGTAACAAGTGAAAGTTTTGCTCAAATAAATTAACCCCCTCCCTCTACGACCACTTGATCTTGTTAATTTGCCTGCCATGCTTTAGCCCAACTAAACAGAAATCAATTTTATTAAATATAAAATATGACATTTTTAATTTTTTGTCATCATTTTTAGCTAAAGCTAATAACTGATGGTTGTAGCTTGACCAGTCTTTTTCAATTTTCAAACATAAAGAAAAGAGAAAAGACTCCGTGTTCTTAAGATATGTGAATTTGTTTTGTGAATATTGTGTTTAAAAGCTTTCATAGGCATATATTAGTTTATTCACATTTAAAAAAATGTATACTATAGCTAAAAAT